CAGGGCTCTTTGCATCACGCCTGCCAACCCGCTTCTCTACTGCAATAGCTGTCTTGACAATTGAATTTGGCTTTGGGATTCACAAACAACGGGCCCCTATAACAGCCTGGCAACTCCACCCCTAAAGCAATGCTTCTTGCGACTTGAAAGGACACCCGTAGCAGAAATCAACGACATCATCAAGAAGCTCGCGTTGTCCGAGTGTTGCATCATGTTGCGTCCAAACGCAAACGCATTGTCGCAGCGGACAGCTGGGCCTGTGTAAAAGCTTTACCCGCAAGAAAAAGACGAAGCACCGTGCTCTGACTTTACTCTTCAAAGCCCACAAATACGCTCGAAGTGTTGCCGGGGCCGCGCCCGCAAACAGGCTTGGGACCCCGCTCGGGCCGAGCACAGATGCCGCGCAAAGGCGCTGGTAAGGACCAAAGCAGACACGCTCGGGATCCCGCTCGGGCCAAACCCGTGCCAAGGCGCAGATAAGGACCAACACCGTCACGCTCGGGAGCTTAATGCAACACGCAGGCGCCTGCAAGGACCAAAGCGGCCAGGCTCGCTAGCCCGCTCGGGATCCCGCTCGGGCCTTGCAAAGGCAAGCGAAGCCACGCTCGGGATCCCGCTCGGGATACCGCTCGGGGCAGACGCGATGCCACGCAAAGGTGTCACTCTTGCGGAAGCCATACAGTTAGCACACGCCAGACCCTCTTGCACCTAGCTTGGCCGTGTCAGCCAGGACTCTTTGCATCACGCTTGCCAGCGCGCTTCTCCTACAATATTTGCCGTTTCTGCAATGGCAGCCCAACTGTCTTGATAATTGAATTTGGCTTGGGGATTCACAAACAGCGAGCCCCTAAAAGCCTGGCAACTGCACCCCTAAAAGCCTGCTTCTCCACCGCTAAAGCAATGCCTCCTGCATCCTCCTGCGACTTGAAAGCGCGCCCATAGTAAAACGATTATGAAGAAGCTTGCTTTGTCCGAGTGTTGCATCATGTTGCACGCAAACGCAAACGCATTACCGTCCCGAACTCAAGCATCGTGTGGAAGCTTTACCCGCGAGAAAAGACAAGTCCATCATCCTGAAAAAACACCGTGCTCTGGTTTTACTCTTGAAAGCCCACAAACACGCTCGAAGTTTTGCCGCGCAGAGAGGCTTGGGATCCTGCTCGAGACGAGCACAGACGCTGCGCAAAGGCGCTGGTGAGGACCAAAAGCAGACACAGTCGGGATCCCGCTCGGGCCAAACACGTGCGCCGCGCCGAGGCGCAGATAAGGACCACTCGGGCCAACTACTATGGATGCAACTCGCAGGCGGCTGAAAGGACCAAAACGGCCAAGCTCGCTAGCCCGCTCGGGATCCCACTCGGGGCAAGCATGCGGGTGCCACGCAAAGGCGTCAGACCCTCTTGCCGAAGCCATACAGTTAGCACACGCCAGACCCGCTTGCGCCTCCTTTGGCCGTGTCAGCCAGGAGTGTTCGCATCACGCTTGCCAACGCGCTTCTCCTACAGTTTTTGCCAAGCAGACACGCTCGGGATCCCGCTCGGGCCAAGCGCGTCAGTCCTGAACGATCCGCTACAAACGCGCAGGCGGCTGAAAGGACCAAAACGGCCAGGCTCGCTAGCCAGCTCGGGATCCCGCTCGAGCCGGCTACGGATGCCACGCGGGCAAACTTTAAAACTTTCAGGATCCCGCTCGGGAGAAACGCGGATGCCACGCACAGGCATGTGCGAACGCAAGCGCAAACGCACTTGGGCTTCCGCTCAGGCTAAGCAAGCTTCAAGAATCCGCTCAGGCTGAACTTGTAAGGCCCAACATACGGCCAAACCTCTGACTTACAGTTAGCACACGCCAGACCCTAGCGCCTTCTCAGCTGGTGTCAGCCAGGACTCTTCGGATCATCACGCTTGCCAATGCGCTCCTCCTAACTACAGTCTTTGCCCTTCACTGAAATGGCAACGCAGCAGTTTTAGTGCGTGGCACGCACCCCCATTATTCGGCGAAGGGCGCGCTTCTCGCTTAGGTGCATCCATCGGCGCAACTGCGGCACCTCCCCCCCCCCAGGATGTTTCGAAGTAATGATGATTCTGGCATGGCACCCTGCAACAGCACCCTGCGCAACTCTGCAGCACCCTGCGCAGCTCTGAGTCTCGTCCTGCCTTCCTTCCTTCCTCCCTTCCTTCCTTCCTTCCTTCCTTCCTTCCTTCCTTCCTTCCTTTGCTTCCTTTGCTTCATTTGCTTTCTTTGCTTCTTTTGCTTCCTTTGCTTCCTTTGCTTCCTTTGCTTCCTTTGCTTCCTTTGCTTCCTTTGCTGCCTTTGCTTCCTTTGCTTCCTTTGCTTCCTTTGCTTCCTTTGCTTCCCTTGCTTCCCTTGCTTCCTTGCTTCCTTGCTTCCTTGCTTCCTTGCTTCCTTGCTTCCTTGCTTCCTTGCTTCCTTGCTTCCTTGCTTCCTTGCTTCCTTGCTTCCTTGCTTCCTTGCTTCCTTGCTTCCTTGCTTCCTTGCTTCCTTGCTTGCTTGCTTGCTTGCTTGCTTCTTCCTTCCTTCCTTCGCTTCCTTCCTTTCCTTTGCTTCCTTTGCTTCCTTCGCTTCCTTCGCTTCCGTGCTTCCTTCCGTCCTTCCTTCCAATGCCCATGTAAAGCTATTTTGATGCCAAGCCTTATTTCAAAGACCTTGAAGAAACCGACTGCCAGACTAGTTGGAGCGCTAACTGTTGGGCCTCAACCACGGCTTGGGAAAAAACGCTGCGGAAGCGCCCAAACAGTTATCACTCAACGTTGGAATGCTGTGTGCTAACTGATTGATACGCACTATACTACTTCCCTCTTCCTTTTCTTTTTCTCCTTTCTCCTCTCCTCGGGCGGGCTGCGGCGCCCTAAATACGCATCTCGCTCCCTTTGTCTTCTTTTCTCTCCTTCTTCTTCTTCTTCTCTCTCCCTTGCGTTCCTTTCTCCTTCCCCCGGGCGGGCTGCGGCGCCCTAAATACGCATCTCGGCCCTTCTCCTCCTTTCTCTCTTTCTCGCTCTCTCCTTCTTTTCTTCTCCCCTTTCCCTACTACTTCCGGTTGTTCCTCTTCGCCCGTTTAGGGATGGCGTGTTCGTGGTGTCGTTCTTCAACTTCGCGGTGCTCTTTCTCTACAAGGTTTAGGAGGGTTTCTGGACTGTTTGGCGTTCTTTGCCCTCGGCGGTGACCCTAAACTCGGTTTCCCGTTTTTCGTGTTTCTTGGTTGGGGTTTTGCCCGCGGAGACCCAACGTGGGGCCTTTCTGTTCCTTTTGGGTTCTTGCTCCGTTTGTTTTCTGTTGGGGTCTTCGTCCGTCTTTCGGGCGCTTCTTCTTCCCCCTGAAAAAGAGACTTTTCGCCCCTCACTGAGGGGCGTGTGTGTGCGGAGTGGCAGAATACCCTGTCACCACAATTGAGCGCAGGGGGGCGATGGTTCCTTTGGTGTGCATCGCCCAACGAAGACCGCGCCATTGGATCGTGAAATCAGTCCAGGACGCTGGACTGACGTACTGGCCGTGATGCAACGTCCTTTTGGCCCCCTTGGTTGCGGCGCTGTTTGTGCTTCTTGTTCTTTCGGGTAACGTTTTCGACACTAGAGGGAAGCCGCGTGCATTGCGAGCCGAAACTTATGCATGAAGAACCTTATCCAAGCCGAAACTTACCAGCTGTACTCGAAAGATTAGCACCCTCCATCTGGAGTTTAGTGTGTGTGTGTGTGTGTGTGTGTGTGTGTGTGTGTGTGTGTGTGTGTGTGTGTGTGTGTGTGTGTGTGTGTGTGTGTGTGTGTGTGTGTGTGTGTGTGTGTGTGTGTGTGTGTGTGTGTGTGTGTGTGTGTGTGTGTGTGTGTGTGTGTGTGTGTGTGTGTGTGTGTGTGTGTGTGTGTGTGTGTGTGTGTGTGTGTGTGTGTGTGTGTGTGTGTGTGTGTGTGTGTGTGTGTGTGTGTGTGTGTGTGTGTGTGTGTGTGTGTGTGTGTGTGTGTGTGTGTGTGTGTGTGTGTGTGTGTGTGTGTGTGTGTGTGTGTGTGTGTGTGTGTGTGTGTGTGTGTGTGTGTGTGTGTGTGTGTGTGTGTGTGTGTGTGTGTGTGTGTGTGTGTGCGTGTGTGTGTGTGTGTGTGTGTCTGTGTGTGTCTGTGTTTGTGTGTTTGTGTTGTGCTGTGGGTGTGTGTGTGGTGTGTCTGTGTGGGTGTGCTTGTGTGTGTGGGTGTGGGCGTGCTGTGGGTGTGGGTGTGGGTGTGGGTGTGGGTGTGGGTGTGGGTGTGGGTGTGGGTGTGGGTGTGGGTGTGGGTGTGGGTGTGGGTGTGGGTGTGGGTGTGGGTGTGGGTGTGGGTGTGGGTGTGGGTGTGGGTGTGGGTGTGGGTGTGGGTGTGGGTGTGGGTGTGGGTGTGGGTGTGGGTGTGGGTGTGGGTGTGGGTGTGGGTGTGGGTGTGGGTGTGGGTGTGGGTGTGGGTGTGGGTGTGTGGGTGTGTGGGTGGTGGGTGGGTGGGTGGGTGGGTGGGTGGGTGGGTGGGTGGGTGGGTGGGTGGGTGGGTGGGTGGGTGGGTGGGTGGGTGGGTGGGTGGGTGTGTGTGCCTGTGTCGTGTTTTGTGTTTGTGTGTTTGCGTCTGTGTGTTTGTGCTTGCTTGGGCTTGCGGTTGTGTTTGTGTTTGTGTGCTTGTGGTGTCTCAAGATGTGGTGCAGCGAAGCAAATATAAAAAAGAAGGCGGCATGCCGCACGAAACCAAACTCAGTACACCTGTTGATCGCCATTTGCGTGAAGCTTTATGGCAACAAATGCTGCCAGCAACCTAGCTTTGAACGTTGTGCGTTGAGGCGTGTCTTGCGAACCAAGCCGAAAAAGTCAGAGCTGAGCATTGATCCCTTTTGTGGCCTCTCAAATCTTTGAACCAATGTCCGGCTTTCTTTCGAAGCAACCAGACGAAGGATCGCGCAAAAGCCTTCTTCAGGGCAAATAAGATGTTTGTCAAGTAATGTGAAGGGCGAGTGGGGCTAACCGACCGCTGCCAAGCAGCTTGGCGTCATAGTCCCACTCCTCGTAGTGGCCCTCGAAGAAGGTCTCGAAGTCCTTGTTGTTCCAGACCTGCCCAGGCAAAGCATGGGCAGTCACAAGGCTGACGCCTATCAAGAGGTTGGGATTCCACACAATAATAATAAAATGATTGCTGTCTGACTCCAATCCAACCATTTGGATTTGCCGTTTTGGAGCTTGCCAACCAAACGGCCGAACCTGGGGCCGGCGGGCCCCACGGAGATCTGAGGGCCCCACGGAGCTGCCGAGCATCTGCTGGAAGTAGAGCCTCACCTCAGGGAAGGCGTGAATCAACGAGGAGTCGACCACTCCAAATGGTCGCAAGCGGGTTCCTTGCCATACCCCAGGAAAACCAATGTGTTCTGACACCATGATTGCAGATATCACATACTGATGCCATGTAAGACGCGCCAAATTGGAACCCTGAAACAAACGGCTGACTAACGCGCCATTCCCAAGGCTTTTGCCGGAAGAACGGCGCAAGGGGTTCACTAAATATTGCTCGGCAAGTGGCGCTGAGGTCGGCCCTGAGATCGCCGAGCTTCACGTAGCCTTCCAAAAGCGAGCGGCCGAAACAAACACACCGCGGGCTATCCCTGGCCGCTGGCCATGACATGTCCACAGCAGATTCGCTCGCCGAAGGCTTGACAGAACACCGCTCCCACCTCCTTGGCCCCCGCCCTGGCTCTCCACAGCGCCTTTTAGCACCTGGCAGCCCGGAATTGTTTCTGCGGGGGGGAAACGTGACTTGTGAGCATTCCTAGAGCAATGCCGGGCCAAGCGTGCGTGATTGAACTGTGCTTTATCCATTGCATGCGCATCCGATTGGTCCATGCAGCCTTCCGCTCAACCATAACATGGCGTTGTCAAGACCGTGCATTCAAGGCAGCCGCATGTCGCGGGCGTGCATCAAATTGGGAAGGCAAAGGCAGTCGGCAATGTAGGAATAACCCTGTCCCCCTAGTAATGAACCATCCCCCTCCTAAGACAAACAAACAACCTCGGAGAGTCTTCTATAATTAGGGTGCGCCGGTTTTTGGCCATAACAGTTTCAGACTGCGTTGTGTAGTAGTTGGTTCAAATTGGAAAAGACGGACCCTTTGGTTTGCAACAAAGTGCAGCTGTTGAGTAAGACCTTGTGAAGGCAACCTCATGGAGACCCTAATTAAACAAAACAAACAAAAATATCCCTCAATGAAATTTAAGCAAGGGATTCAACTACTTCCATGGCGAGTGTAGGAAAGCACACCTGCTGCTTGTGCCAAAAGATGCGAGGGCATCATACTGAACTTCCTCAACATCCATCACCTGACAGTTGGGTGGCCCCTTAAGCAGGGGAGCTTGGCTGAGTTCATCTGGTTTCCAGAGAGTTTCGTTCTGGTTTAGTATTGGGTAGTCAGAATGCTGGGGTCGGTTGGAAGGGTTTTATAGTATTGGCGGTCCGTTTATACATAGGAAGAAGTGATTCACTGTCCAGCGCCCTTGCAGTGGGTAACGCTGCTCCATTCCGCATCGAGCCTCGCTGGTGGTCATGTACTTGTATGCCTTGGAGGACAATACTAGCGCAGCCATGCACTGGGGCATTGATGCAACAGGTGCTAGTCACTTATATAGTCCCGCCTTGAATCACAAATCATGCCGGCAAGTTGAGGGGTAAGCAACGTGCAGCAGCTTCGCCATAAGAGGCGAGGTGCAGCAGAGAAATCCACCAGCACAAAGTCCACCACATCAGTGCCCTGGTCCACCTGAGTCGGCTCGTCTTTGGCTCGCGGCTCGCGGCTCGGAACCCAGCAGGTGTCAATCAAGGCCTTGCTAAGTCAGCTGGGAGGCACAACTGTTAAGATCCTACCCTGGATTTCACTAGTATGTGTTGGACAGCTAGTTCGATTGGACTTAACGCCCTCTGCTAAAATTAGTGAAACAGGACAGAGCTAGTACCAGGATGGCTACTTGCAGAAGCTGCGTCCTGACCCAAAGTTGTTGTGGTGAATCCTGTGCATTGGCAAGGCGTGATGTCAGGCATCAATCAGGGCACCCAATCACAATCTCCAATCAACACACCCAACGATGCCCTTGAAAGCTTCATTTCAAGGCGGTTCAAACGCAGGGCGCAACAAAGGCGCAAAACGGAGGAAACATGCCTATATCAACCTCATCTTGCTGAAGGATCTCGAAGCGACCGGGCGACCGCCCTGTGAGGACTGGGTTCTGCTGCGGTTCTGCTGGCTTCAACGCGCTCCTTGGCCCCGGGCATGGCCAGCCATGCGCATCTCCTTGGGGGACCGGAAGGCCATGTAGCGACCCGGCCAGAAGGCGCCTGCCCGCTGGCGAAAAAAAGAGAGAGCAACAAGCGCATTTTGGAGTGGCGGAGGGGGGCTGCAGGCCATGAACTCGCAGTTGAGGCTTCAGACCACACCACACGACACACGACACACGCACACACGCACACACGCACAGGTGCGCACAAGCGCACAGCAAACACCACAAACAACACAGACACAGACACAGACACAGACACAGACACAAACGCAGACACACACACACAAACAAATACATAAAAACTAAACGCGTCAACACCACGCAGCAACAGCACACAAAACACAACACGCCACACACACAGCACACAAAACACAGCACACGACACACAGCACACAAAACACACAGAGAGAGACACACCGAACCATGTTCTGTTTCATGTTGGTTCTCGCCGATCATGGCATATGTAAATATAATCGACTGGAAGATTTAGACCAAAGAAGGTGTTAACAGAGTGCCTCAGGCACGACCAATGCACCAACATCGCATGCCCCCAATCAGTCACACATGGCAACCTGGGCGAATCCGCCACCCCCACCAGAAACCCCGGCAACAGCGGGGCAAGGGCGCTGGATTTTTTCCGTTACTGTATCTTCCTTTATCGGCATCCCTAAGATTGAGACACAAGCTCAGCCTTCGAAACGGAAGGCGCCCTGGCTGAAAGGCGAGGCCTCCACCTGCGATGTGACCCCACCCTTTTTGAAACTGAAGGACGCTATGGTCATGCCCCACAGCACCAAGCTCCTCACTCTGAAATGAGGTCAAGCACATGACGCATGTCAAACGCAAAGTTCAAGCAATCAGACCGGCATGCAAAGCCAGCTTGGCGTGATCAAATGCGCTGAGCTCACGGCTATAAGATTGCACCTCTTCATGTCCTACAGTCCAGTGCGGCAAAACGTCCTTTGCTTGCAAACGCTGGGGCCGAAGAAGCCATGATGTTATGGATTGAAGGCCAGAACCTCTATCACCGTATAGATGTGTCGATCCAAAACCTTGCCTTTTGCCTTAAGAGGGCACTCGAATCACTTCAAGCTTGCGTATGCGTGGATTACAAGGAGGTCGTCCTGGTCGGCAAGCAGTCCGCAAACAGATTCTGCATTCTCGTCTTCTTCTTGACCTGTCAGAGCTGGCACAGATCTTGTCAATCTGGCCTTGCAGCCTGCAATGTTGCATCTTCTTCATCTCCTTCATCCAAAACTTGCGAACTAAGCCAGAACCCGCAGGATGTCTGAATTATCAATATTGACTATCTGTGATCTGCCTCTTAAACAAATCCAGTTCTTTCTTGCCAGGGCATCTCCTGGCCTGCCCATAAACATGATTGAGCATCTCGTGACTTGCCTATGATTAAATATAATTGCTCAGAACTGTCTATCACATTTGTGGCCGCAGGGTTAAGACGACACCCGCGCTATATAAATAAGATAGCACACAGCTGATGCTTTTCCGATGCCCGTTGCATTGAGAACCCTGTATATGTATGCAACTCCTGGCTACGATTCGCAGTCCTGGTTACCGAGGGCTGCGGTAGCCGCAGGTTTGGACATTGCCTAGGAGATCCTTCGGCTGCTCAGTGAAACGCATCAACCCCGTACCTTGCGGGGGACTTCTCATGGCCAAGTGTGAAGCACATTCGGAGCAATAGCCATGATTATAAAATTCAAGAATGGCATAGACCGTATTGGCCCACACCACCTCCTATACATTGCACAAGTACTTATGAGTCCCACATCAGACCTTGCTGAGATTCCATGTGTGTGAGGTCAAAAACATGTCAGCCGCAGTAATCAGTGCCGTATCTTTACATTTGCACCCGGCCAGCTGCTGCGATGATGCGACCTCTTGAAAGACACACAATCTCAGGAAGCCCTTTGCAAAGGGACCAACTATGCAGTAACTATGCAATTACAAAATGCATGTCATCGCCTTACACTGCCTGCCAATCCTCCGTCTTCATGGCGGTGTTGCAGATCCGTGGGGCGTATTTCAGGCAGGTCCAAAGATCCAGGTACATCTCCCATGCCGCCAAAACGTACACGTCCTGCTGCACCTCCTGGGGCTCCTGGGGCTCGTGGGGCCCCTGGGAGTCCTCCGTTGGGGACGGGTTGGCCAGCATCTGCTGGGTGCGGTACACCACCACCAAGCCGCAGACAGTTGCCCCCGCGCACGCACATGCATCGCCGATCACCGCGAAGTCCAGGAAAAAACTGATGAACACCAGGACGAGCATGATGACTCCTGCATAGAGAACCTCGGAGTCACGGCCAACCGAACACGGAAATTCCACAATAAAGGCAAATCGAAGGACCAGGGGCAAGTTGACACGCACGACCGCCTACACGAAATGCGGACACTATCAAGCCCACCGGTTTGCATGAATCTCCCTGGCAAAAAGAAGGGGCGCTTTGAAGTTGGCCGGGAAACGAGGAGGTACGGCCAGCAGCCCGTGAAATCAGCGCCTGTCCGTTCTGAATATACTTCGAGGCCCAGAATGATGAGCGTGGCCAGTGCAAACACCGCTGGCACGCTTCTGTATCCCAGCTCCGCTGCAAAGAAGCCGACCAAAAAACCCATGGAGCAGGCCAAGAGCGAGATGAAGAACCAATTCCATGGGGCCGTCCTTGCGAACTGAGATAAACCCATTGACCCGGCTGACTGACCATGGGCTGACCATGCTTGAAACCTACTTCAGGCTTCCCTGGTGCATTATGATTGAGGGGGTTGTAAAAAGGCTTGCCCAAGTGCCCTTGCGAAAACAAAGGAACGCGCAAATAAACCCTTCGCAGCGAAAAAAAGCATCGAAACAGCCATTGGACAACCATGGGCGGAGCGGGTCCTCAACATCCACAGGTAACCTCAGTGTGCACGAAATGAGTTTGCAGGAACACATTACGCTTAGCCCGGATGGCTGTACACAAGTTGCCCAACATGCTCGATGTCAACCCAGTGCCACGTGCAAGCGCAGACCACTGCTTCTCTTGCGCTAATTCTGCAGATCATTGTGCATACAAGGTTTTTGCTGTTCTTAGTTCTCACACTCAGCGTGGCCACTGGCCCGCGTCGCAGTATCCGCAGCAAGCCATCCATGTGTTAAAGTGACAACTTGAGCTTTAAAGCCCAATTCTGGCCTTATTCAGTAGAGCTTACTTTGCAAAAGCAGGTTCCGAAAGAAAGCCTTGATTGCAGCATATTCAAATTGCCAGCAGGAAATTTTGATGTTAGTTGGCGGCTTGTGCCGGGAAGAGGCATAGCCCGAAACCCTAAACCCTTCCTAAGCCCAACTCAATCCCATCTTCATCCCACCCCAGGAACAAAACCTAAACCGCCCCGAAACGAATCCAAACCCACCCTCAAACAACCCTAAACCCAAGCCAGTGATGCTAGTGGCGTTAGGTAATGCTACTGCACTGGCGTTGATACCTCCAACAAAAACCGGACAAAACAAAACAACAACCTGAATTTCGCACCCTCTATCGATATGCAGGTCGACGGACTAATGCCTGGCCGAGTTCACAATCGAGTAATGTTGACCCCGTATTAGATACCCCCCCCTATTAGTCCGGTGAGGGTGGACCCCCCCAATACCAAACAATTCATATCTCAGAAAATACCACCCAAATAAAGAATGATGCAAAACAACCCCCCCCAATTAGACCGGTCCCTCCCCCAGATGGCTGCTGCTATCTCATTTTCTCCACTGCTTCTTGAGCTCATTCCTATGTAAACTGTTTTTTGGTGCTAGCTGATGCTGCTGATGTTGAATCGACTCATGCTGCTTGCCATGCTTTCTCTGAATTGTGTGCTGAAAAGGTGCTTTGTCTCAAATGGGCTCATGCTTTCTTCTGGTACCTTTCTCTTCATGCTGCTGCCTTGCTTAGGGCTCTCATCTCCACCTCCTACTCTCATCTTGAAGCTTGGTGGATACTTTTGGGCCTGCCCAAACCACAAAACAAAAAGTGTTCTGAGATGGTCGATTTCTTATTAAATTATTTACTAAACAAATCAAGTTTAGAAGGTTTCAAAGAGCACCCCGCATTGGCCCCTAACACCCCCAATTAATAATTCCACCCCCCCTACTTAGTGCGGTCCATCGGCCCCACCTCCCAAAGGAAGCTCCAGCAATACTAAATCAAATGGAATCTCAATTCCAGATCTTAAAAGGAAGCCCCAGCAATACTAAATCAAATGGAAACTCAATTCCAGATCTCAAAAAGGAAGCCCCAGCAATACCAAATCAAATGGAATCTCAATTCCAGATCTTAAAAGGAAGCCCCAGCAATGCTAAATCAAATGGAAACTCAATTCCAGATCTCAAAACGAAGCCCCAGCAATACTAAATCAAATGGAAACTCAATTCCAGATCTCAAAAGGAAGCCCCAGCAATACTAAATCAAATGGAAACTTAATTCCAGATCTCAAAAGGAAGCCCCAGCAATACTAAATCAAATGGAAACTCAATTCCAGATTATTTAGGGGGTCAAGGCAAAAAACCTTCCAAAATCTTGCCCCCCCAAAACCTTCAACATTACGGTCAACACATTAGCAGCTCGTGCGTGCGCGTGCGCGCGCGCGTGTGCGTGTGCGTGTCCGAGTGTGTACGTGTGTGTGTGTGTGTGTGTGGGTGCTGCGTGCGTGCGTGCGTGCGTGCGTGCGTGCTTGCGTGCGTGCGGGCGTGCGGGCGTGCGGGCGGGCGGGCGGGTGGGTGGGGGGCGCGTGCGCGTGCGCGTGCGCGTGCGCGTGCGGGTGTGGGTGTGGGTGTGGGTGTGTGTGTGTGTGGGTGTGTGTGTGTGGGTGTGTGTTTTCCTTTCGCGACAGCTTGTTTCGCATCAATCATCAACCCCCCCTGCGCTTTCGTGGCGAGCCCTTGAAATTAGGTGGGCAGCTTATTCAGTACAAGAGTACTACACCTTGGTAGCTCCAGCTTGCAAATCGCGACTGTTTCGAACAAACGTGGCGTGCCAAGCACGCTACGGCAGCTCCTGCTCAAACGGCGCAACTTTTTTCAGCACAAGAACGGTGTCAAAGGAGGCACACAAGTAGCCTTTCGCGAAGCTTTCACGGACAAAGTTCTGGGGAAACGTGAGGTTTCGCGATGCAAGGTTCTCCTTTCGCGATCATCGTGGGGTGTTTTAGGGACTGCTGAAATGGGCAATGCCTCCTGGCCGGGTAGCATCGCCGCAGTGCTGCGCAGCACGGCAGGCTGGCCACAAAGCTGATGAGCAGCTGTACAGCTGCAATAGCCCCAACTAGCCAAAGGAGCCAAAGGTTGCAGCCCACAAAGCAAATAGGTTCACCTGCGCGAGCTTGCGAAACACGCGCCGTGTCCACCACAATACTTTCATGAACCTTTCGCCTTGGCCTGGCGTTGCGTTTCTGTGGATTTCCTGCCCCCTCCATTCCACAAGCCCTGGCGCCTGACACCATGAAAGGTGTTGCAGTGCCAAAGCTAAGCAGCAACATGACGCAAAGGGCGCCGTAAACTCTCCTCACCTCAGTTGAAAATGGCGCGGCTTGGGGAAGGGGGGGACGAAGAAGCCAAACGTTCTGCGTGACCTGGAGAACAATAACCAGCAGGCAAGCAAGCGTCATCAAGCAAGCAAGCAAGCAAGCAAGCAAGCAAGCAAGCAAGCAAGCAAGCAAGCAAGCAAGCAAGCAAGCAAGCAAGCAAGGCAGGCAGGCAGGCAGGCAGGCAGGCAGGCAGGCAGGCAAGCACAGCAAGCAGAAAGGCAAAGCAAGCAAACAAGCAATCAGGCAAAATATCAATCAAAGTTAAATGTGGACAAGGTCCCCGCAGCCCAGCGCAACCAAAAGCACACAAACAAACCAAGCTAGTTGTGCGCAAACATCGGCAAACCAACCAACTAACCAACCAAGCCAGCAAACACACCAAGTGATACTCAAATTAAAGATCTACTCACATACACACACACAAAAAAACAATGCACAACCGATGTCACTAGATAGACATGTCACATACATAAGTAAACCAGATCAACCAAGCAACCCTCAACCCACCAACCAACCCACCAAACCAATCAAACAATAAAACAATAAAACTGATCAAACAATCAAACACCAGTCGAGCGCAAAGACGCATACTTCTGCTTCTTCTGGCAGACTTCTGGGTCCTCGTTTCTCTTGCTCCGTGCACCTTCCGCTGGCAGTGCAGCCAGCGATGGCCCCTCTGCTTCGACATCTGCTTCTACATTTGCTTCTAGATCTGGCATGTCGGCAGGCCCATGCGGGGAAGCCATGACGCATCGCGCACAGCACAAAGGCTTGCGGCTGCGGCAAAGACTCGACTCGACTCAAAGCACAAACAAGGATTACACGTTGGCACAGCCCCATGCAACATGCCACGGAGTCACACCTATGATCTCCCCCAAAATAGCGGTCCATGTCAGATCTCTCATGCCTTGGCCATCCGCTCTTCCCATCAGAACTATAAATCTGCGTCCAGCCCAGGGCAAAATGAGGCCCCTTCAACAAGTGCCAGGCCGCCATCTTCGCCCTGGCCTGCTTGAAACTGGAAGCTGACGTTCAAGCCGCCTTCCATGCCTTGGCCTCGTGCGGCGTTCGTGGCGCGTATCGTCCAGTTGCACTGACCGTCTGTCCGTGACGGATGGGCCAAACTCGATCCAACGTGACAATCAAAAAGCGGCCGCACACTGCAACATTGTTCTCTGCTCCTGCTTCCGCGACGCGCCGAATTCACAAACCAAGAGCTCAAAGCCGCGAACTTTTGCAGAATGCCAAAGACAAGAAAGACACAGGGGCAAAGAATCGCGCGAAGACACGCTCAAGATCTGCTCGCCCTCGGCAAATCCATATTCCCGCCTGCGCTCTCTCGTGCTCGCAGGCGGCACATGTTGTTCACCTCCGGCAGCCACCAAAGGGAGAACTTGGCCGCCTGAAAGAACTCCTCGGCTTGGCCCTGGATTGCCTTTCCGGGCTGTGGAATGGCTCAGTAGCCTCGTTCGGACCCGGAAAAAGAGGGGCATGACGAAAAATGGGTCAAAAAGGGGAACCTAAAAAGTCAAAAGGTCGGTTTTGGGCAAGTGTGACTGCTTCCGTACCCCACATGTTCGGAAACAACGTCCCGCATTGAGATGGAGCCGTTGAACTTGCCTTTCGCTTTACAGGGCCGTTGCTGCACTGGTCCTTGGAACGAGGTTGGCATCCACTCTTGCCGCTTGGCGGAGAAGGCCCCGTAGAAATAACTTCTATCTAGCAGGCCAAATGGCCGGCCACTTCAATCACTAATCCTTTCAAAAAGACACCATGCAGAAAGCAGAGGCAAATCTACGTCACAAAAGGAGTGGTGCTCCTTGCCACGACTCAAATGAGCTGATGCGACTTGTTCCCCAAGTCGCGAAATGAACACAAGCAGCGCTCACAATCTCTGTGGCAACTCCGCAGCCTAGGAGGTAAGGCTGACTCAGCGAAAGGAGACGCGGTGATTTGGTTTCCCAAGCCGGGCAATCTTAAAGAAGCGCTTGTCTGGCAACCATGGTCTTGAAGGGTGTCTCCCTCACATTCCGTGCAGCCTGGGAGATAGTGGGCTCACTTCCTGAGTCGACTGGCAAGAAAAAGGTTCAAATTGTTTGGCTGCCACGAAAATGGTCTTCCCAAGTGTGAAGTCCATGAACTCGGGAATAAGTGGGAGGGTGCCGGCTGATCCTGCGCGATCAGCGTACCAGTTAAATGAATTCTGCAGCAGGCCAAGGTATAAGCACTGGCTAGGACCGGCTAGGAGGCCGTCTGAAATCAGGAGCCCCTCCAAACGATTGGGAAAGAGCCACCTGTTTCATCAGCTTTGGGTGACACCCCGTTCGACGAATAGCTACCGGCGGGCACCGTCCTGGAAAGCCACGCCGATGGCTTCATCTCTCGACCTCGGCGCAGGCTACTGGAACGTGGCTTCACGCCTGGAGAGCCAAGCTTCCGCGCCACGAACCCTTTGCTTCTGCTTGTGTGTTGCTAAGAAACTGCTTCCGTGAGCGGGAACCGTACTTTCCGGCGGTCACCAGCGTCTGAGCGTCTGTGCTGGGCACGCTTGGCAATGGGTTTTGAGGCTGGCCTGAAGGCTGTCGCAATGAAATGCGGCAAGCAATCTATTGCCGCTGACACAGTCAAATGATGCGCATGAAGCTTGTCTGCGCCAGGAGTGCAGGGACTAGCTTGTCGGTTTGGCAAGATCGGCTTCCGCGAACCTTTTGCGGGAACGTTTCACCTGTCCCCAATTCCCTTCTGAGCTGCTAGGCCAGATTGCCTGTTGTGTGACATGGACAACCCTGACTCTTTGAATGCACTGGCCAATTCATTCATGCTATGCAACGTTGAGCTTCTGGGCGGCAAGCCCTTCCGCAAACCTTCCACGACTGCAGTCGCATGCCGGTGTTATAGGCATAGCGCACGGTTGCTGTCAGAATTGTGGGTGAAAAAAGCTCAGTTGCGGATCAGACATGTCTATTGCGGGTTTAAAGGTGTGTCCGCCGGAAATCTCTCGCTCTCTCTCTCTCTCTCGCGCGTGCAATCGGAATCTGTCCCGCTGGTGGGGGGGTTCGCCGGAATCAGAACTTAGGGTTCCTGGGAGACATGCAATCATCCAAGCAGCGTTGAAACCCAAACCTTCTGAGCCATCGCTTTGAGGGTCAGATTGCTTCTTGACTTGGCACAAATCGTTCGCAGCCTCCGCTTGCCGCTTGCGACTGGGGTCTTGGCTGAACGAGGAGCTGATCATCAACGATTCTCACAAACTTGTCAGAATATCCTGGCCAGGGCTGGCGCATGCCTCATGACCTCAAGCTACATCACGCCCTGATTCAGATCCAAATATCCAAAGGCTTGAGGTCGTGCCATTCACCGTTGAGCGACGTAGGGACTTACAGACAGGTGCTGACACAAAGAGTCAAGCGCACAGGCAATTCGGAAAACAAGCAAACGGACACTCGCACAGTTGCAAAGGAGCACTTTCATACACAGACAAAACATAGACGCAGGAACAAACACAAACACAAACAAACAAACAGGCAAAAAGAAAGGCAGAGACAGACAGAGAGAGAGAGAGAGAGCGAGACAGACAGAGAGAGAGAGAGAGAGAAAAAAAAAAAAAAACAAGAGAGAGTGAGGCACGCAGACGCAGAGACAGAGAGACAGAGAGACAAACTGACTGACAGGCTGACACCCCATCCACCCTCACCCACACCCAGGCGCAGCAAGGCTGCACGCCTGCCTAGAGGACAAAGCATAAATTCCTTGGCCAGGCAAGGCCCGGATGCAATACAGAAAATATGCTCTTTGACCCGCAGTTGGAATAGAAAAATTCTCGGCTGGACCCGCAAGCCAAGCTAGGATGCTAACATGCACTTCGCAAGCCATCCTCTGTGGACAGCCATGCATTTCTGGCTTCATTGGGAGATGCTGCAAGAGATGAGCAAGATTTGCTGACGAGGCACCTTTGGAATGCTCATCCTCGGCTTGATGAACTGCGTCCTTGGCAGGATTCTGCTGGTCAAAGGACTAGCTATGTGCGTTCTCCTCCTTTTTGATTACAAAAAACCTGCGGGCAGTGTGCAAGCACCTCCCCGTTGGACACAACTTTGGATAGAATCCCTACAAAATGGCTACCTCTCATACGCGTGTACCAGCAAGGGGTATGTAACGGGAACCAGGGAGGCCTAAAAAGAGGGAGCATGACGTGCTCTTCGATGGTAAGCAAGAGCAAGTGGCAGGATGAATCCCCATTTTCGGACTCACTCGCCCAGTAGTTTCCATTTCACCCCCTTTAATTGCAGGATGAATGGCCAAAGGCAGGACCGGAATGGGTCGATGTAGCAAGATGCTGGTGTCCAACCAAGTGAAGCACAGCCGACAATGTGAGCGCAGCTGCGGCATCTCTCACCTGTCCCAAAGGCCAACTGGAGGAGGTCAGTTGGCTCTGGGAAGATCGATGAGTCAGGTCATGTTGCCCATTTCTTCAGCTTGGACAAGCCCTCATTTGCCAACTGATCACATCTGCATTGGCCTGCACTGGATCTTCACAAGCCTTCGCCATGGCATGAAAGCCATGCCCTCTTGGCCCCCTTTCAAGTGCCCTGGGAGGGAAACAAAACGAGACCCAAAGCAACCGTCAAACCCATCTTAGATCAGCCGAGCATCTCGAGGCGGATGTTCAAGCGTCTTCTTTCTAGCGCTTGAAGCATCTGATCGTAACCTAGGGCACATGGCGCTCGCAATGGTTGTCGTGTGCTTGTGTGCGGGCGGCAGGCAAGGCCTAAGGCCAACTAATCAACACGCGCACACACATACACGCGCACACACACACACACACACACACTAAGACCACCTCAATACCGCGGGGCATGGCAAGCAACAGTGATGAGCGCTATGAGATGTCAAGACCATTGAATGTGCACTACGTGTATACAGCAAACACCAGCAACTCATTCTCTGTCCGTTGACCTCCTTGGGAAGTTGGAGATCCTTTAAATAGACAAGATCTTAAATGATAATGCAACTCATCTGATTCGTAGCACGCGTCTTCGAGAAAATGCTCCAGCCGGGGCTCCATTTCAATTCAAATTGCAATGCTTTGACCGTGGCAGGGTTGTCGGCCGATTGTTTGCCATTCAAATATTGCAAGCCGCTGTCTAGAATTGCCCCCTTCCCACTGAAGAAGCCCACGGCGAATGCACTACAAGCACGCAGCTGAAGCTTGCCATGGGCAACGGGGGCAATGTGTGTGTCTCATGGCAGCTGAAGACGTTTGGCTGAAGCCCCCGAAATGCCGACATTCTACAAGCAACTCAGTGTGGATCCCGCATGTTACATATCAAATATCGCGAGCAGGGTGTTCTAAATAGACTTACCCCCTCTCCACTTGAAAAGGGGGGTTGAACCCTCCCTCGCACTGCCTGCCAGCCCCCCTCTGAGAAGGCTGCTCTGACGCTTGAGCGGGTTGCTGATCGTCTCATACCTAGGCTGCTAACCGAGCTTTGCGAACCTCGTGTATGTGTCCTGCGCACGGAACATCTGCCTTGCCAAATGGACATGGGCAGTGTCGATGCGAGCATCTCGAATCAATGGCCAACACAAGCAGCCAAAAATGCAAGCCACTTCTGGAGCTGGAGATGTCACAAGCAAGGGTAAAGCCAGCGGCTTGTACGCGCAAAAGGCGTGCACCTTCCATGCTGCGAAATGATGTGGCGGCATCTTGCGTTAACCACGGCAAAACCTAGGGCTTTAAACTCGGCCTGCGCAGGCTGGTCGAGCCAAAAAACTTAGAGCCCCTCAAATGGCTGAGCCCTTGCTGTCCTCTGAAGCTTCCGTACAACGCCCGCCAAATTCCGACATATTGACCGACTTGATGACACTTCCTCTTGCAGCTATGCTGCGCTAGATTGATCTGACGGATCTTGACCTCTGCGTCTTCCCGGTCTGTCGGATGCTTGTCCGGGTGCCACTGAAGGACCAATCTCCGGTAGCCTGGCAGGGCAAAGTGCTGCGCACAGCGCATGACATGTCTGGCTTATGGCTGGCCGTAAATGGCAGCCCAACTCCTAACATCGTACGGGGCTTGCCCCAACGCGACCCGAAGCCCTCGTGCAAATGAGCAGCTCTTCTTGATGGCCGTCTCGTCAGCCCGGAGCTCAATGCCCAATACCTCAAAGGATTCAAGGGCGCCAACAGCGAGGGCAGCGCCCAAGATTCTAGGGGTTGATTCCAAGTCCATTCGTTTCAACCATCGTTCTGTTCAAAAACCGGCTGTTTCCCCTGACTTTTTGATGGCTTCCTGAAAAGATTCGGATCCCTGGAAAGAATGGAAATGGAAGGTACCCCTAAGATCTTTCTGGGGATCCGCTAGCTTCAAGCTTCCAGCCAAAGTTTTTCAGGAAGCAGAACTTCCCCTAACAGCCGGGGCTTGGCGACCCGCGGCCAGATTTCGACGATGCGGAATGAACAAGGATTCCCGAGGAGTCCTCTGTCCACATCTCCAGTACTGCAGGTCGGCTTGCACACTTGGACTGATCCGCAGCACAGAAGTTCCCGATAGGTTAAAAAAACAAAACAAAAAACGTGTGCGCACGCCCAAGATGTGTTTGCTCTGAAAAAAGCAGGGCGTCCACCAAAGGTAAGGATCCGCCCCGCCTCCCCCCGGCCCCCCATAAATTCAGCGTCCCTCTTCGCCTCATAGTGGCTCGGCGGCTCGTTGGTGGGCTTCGGCGGAGGTTTGGCTGCCGTGCCTGGATTGGCGCACGGCGGCTTGCACGAAGTGCTTCTGTCCGTTGGTGTTGGGTGAAAACAACGAAAGGCAGGATCAGAGCTGCCCCAAGCCCAGCTTGTCAGTTCTTGTTTATGTGTCTCACTTGAACGTGGCACGTTGATCAACATAACATAAAATAAATATAGCTACGATAGAGTGTTCCTAGTCACCGGCAGGAAAGCACGCAACCTGTGCAGCCTGTGCGCTAAGATCTTGCCAGCAAACTTGAGGAAGGGCGCAGGTACCGGCACGGGCTGCGCAAGCCCACCCCTAAGTAGAATAATTTACTGGAACACAACCACAACCGGATCTATGCCAGTGGTCCTGATTTGATACTCGAATAACTTGAGTACCTCAAAGAAGAAGGGCAGCAAAATGCTTGCTGTTTCAAGAAGTTCTTCATAGACCCAAGCTTAGCAAAGGTTGGACAAGCCAGGAGTGGGGAAAAAAGAAGGCTTCGACCGAAGCGACTGGTGCTTCCCACGTCTCCGCGCGGCATAAATCTCTGCCCGGCATCAGTGCCGCGCGCCTTTCAGTTTCTCTGCCTTCTCGGCTGCCCTCGCCCGGATCTCCAAGAGGATGTCCACGGTCCGGGGAGGCATGCCAGGGATGGACAAAGGCATCCCCGCACGTGCCACCTGGGTTAGGCTTTGCTCGCCAGACAGTTCAGGGAGCCCTTGCTTTACCTCTTTGCGCTAGTTGCACTAAACATCTGCATGTCATGCGCTCCCCCCACATACGCGCAGCAGTTCGACAGCTAGACACCATGTCCGCACGTTTGATTGCCGAAGGAATGCTTTTGGAGCCATTGCTGTGATGGCACTTGATTTGCAGCATTGGGTGGCTGCCCACCCAGCTCCCTCATATTGCCTCATACAAAAAGTCAACTCAAGTTCCACATTTGGAGACCAGTAGAGAACAGTCTGAACAGTCCCAACATAAACAGGGTTGTGCCCACCCAAAGGTCTTCCATCCTGCAACCCTCCCAGTGGCGAGTGAGGGTCGCACGCCAGGAACTGGCACCGGCTCTGGCTCTTCCTGGGCAAGCGCTTGGTGTATTCTGAATCTTTTATCACATGAGCGCGGATCAAGCAGTTTCATTGGGACACAGCAAGCTTTGGATTTGAGATGGGCCAGCTGCCCCCTGCCATGCCGCTTCCGCCGAGGGCACTGCCGGCTTATCCTTCTCGCCACCCTTCTGGAAGAGCAACTGGAGCAGGCTCCTGTCCTTATGCTGACGTTCTCGCAGCCGTCCCCTCAAGCGTAGCCCTTTCTTCCCCACTTGCCCCCCAAAGGCCCAAACAGTTGCCCATGCCAATGAACCACAACTCTTCGATGGCTGAGGGGGTCCGGGGGGTGAGGTGGGGATGGGACCAAAACACGTTTTTCTTTCGCCACCCGGACCCGCTTGCGGCACATCCCACACCCGCATGAGGCGCAACTCAGGGGTGAGCCTTGATCTCCCTGACCATGGCTTGAGCATCGCCGCTCACCCCGTTTACGGAGATGACCTCAGTGGCCACTGGCAAGAGGGGGCCCAGGGTGCAAGAACCGGGGACGCCAACAAGAATGAGCCAACCACCGGCTTAAAGAAGGCCGACTAGAAGCATCAAAACACAAACCAGCTTTCTGCTTTCTAACGCGCATGCTGAGGATAACGTTGGGCTCTGCTGTTGGTAGGCTAGCGCAAGTACAAGTACTAGTACTCAGTAGCGAAAGGCTTCATGTGTGGGTAAGTGCCGATGCATGCACGTGCGTGCAAGGGCGCGCAACTATGTGTGAGTCCACGCAAGTGCGTGCCAGTGCGTGCCAGTGCGTGAGTGGGCATAAGCGCGCATGAGTGTGCAAACAAGCGCGCGTGCGAATGCTCGAGTGCCGGGCTGCCTGTTGCTATGTCTGCCGCCTGCACCTGCCTGCACCTGCCTGCTGGCCTACCGGCCTGCCTGAGAATGTGCGTGCGATTGTGTGGTGTGGGTGTCGGTTTTGGGTGGGAGGTGCGTGTGGGTAGGCAAGTGGGGGGGTGGCAGGATCCGAGTTGTGAGTGCACCCAGCATTGAAGTCTCCAGCAAAACAGTTCTCGTTTCCCTGCACTCAAGTTTTTCCAGTATGCAAAATGCACCTTACACACACACATGCATACACAATAGAAGAAGAAAACAAAGAACAGAGACCCCGGCACCCCAGTTGTTCAATCCCAGGAAGCGCCAAGGCCATCGCCCGGTCTCCGGGCTGGACAGCCAAAGTCGGATTCTCCTTGTTCCAATCGCTGACTGCACCAGCCAAGATTGCCTTACGGGTGGCTGGCCCGCGAGTCAGTGACGCGCCAATGGGCGGGTTTACGAATAGGAAGTGCCCTCTTTTAGTGGGGATTCCCCAGTGTCGCAGGGAACACCCCTCTGGTAATAGGGTTGATTTATCTGGGGTCAACATTCTATATAAGCCAGTAGCGTGTCTGCGTGTGCCCCATCAACATACAGTATACTAGGACTATTATCCACAAGAGTCCCATCTTCCGATGGATAAAGGCTGCATCTACCGAGAACCCTAGGCTCGAGGGTCTCCTCTCATCTCAAAACCACCCTCCTCTCATTACCAATGAAGGCCGATGGCGCAACATGCTTCGCAGCAACTGCGCTTGATACTAGAATGACGCGGTCAATCCTGACACACGCGGAGGAGCCCAAGAGGGTGCCAAGCAAGTTCCAAACTCGCTAGAGCCATGGCAAAGCTCTGAGATTTTGAGGTCTCCAGCCCAAACAAGGTTTCCGCCTGTTGACGCCTGACATGTTGTTGTTGTTGTTTTCACCACCCCTTCCATCCCTTTCAAGCGGTCTGTTCAAACTGCGGTTCGGGAAGCACGAAGCGAAGCGCCGGCCGCCTTGATGTACAGCGTTTTGCCATCACTCCAATCAGCATCCACTCCCAGGCGGTTGCTGCCTATGGTGACGGTCACCTTGGACACGCTCTGGTGACGGTAGGAAACTCTCAGCACGCACCCTCTATTTTGAGCAAAATCAAGTTCACGTTTTGCCTTGGGCAGCAAAGGGTGAGTTTCTTCTGCTGCCACGAACACATATCCTGCTTGCATTAACTCTGGCCCAGAAAAATCCGAAGACAGATCTGGCCTGCTGTTTTCACTGAACCACCCGCATGCAAAACAGTCCTCTTGTCTGGCCTCTTTCTCACCCTGGGCCCTGAAATCAATGCGGACTGACACGAACCACTAGTCCTAAAACATCTTCAGAACCTCTCCGGGCTTGAGTGGGGATTTGGAACGCCCAATGTTGAATCGTAAGCAAAATGCCGCTGGGCACTATCATGTCTCATCTTCCTTGGCTCGCACGGCTCGCAGCTGCATGGGGGGGGGGGTCCTCATGGATGCCATGAGGAGCATAATGCCACAAGAAACCAAATAGGTGCGAAAAGGGGACCAATCTGCGGGCTCAGTCCTAAGAAAAAAGCACCGCCCCTCTGCCCTAAACAAAAGCCTTCGCCAAATTTGGGGCAACTAACCCAAGGAGGCCACGGATTCTGCGATTGGCACCATTGTGGGGCAGTTGCCACTTTCTCCGGGGTGCAAGTTGCTTGCCTTTTAGTGCCCTTTCCGCGCAGGGGAGCGATCTAAACATGGGGAAATCTGAGAATACAGGACTTAAACCCCACCCTTTCCCAAACAACGTGCAATTATGTCCCTTCCCAAATCACATTAATCAAAAAGCCAATCTGTGGAAGCATTGGTGAATCACACAAAGGTGGCCATTCTGGAGCATGGGGCAGCCTGCTCGAGGGGCCAAAAGGGAGAGATGGGCCACTTGAGGGTTCCGATGGCGCTTCCCGAGCCACTGCAAGGCTTTCCTGGCCCGAAGCAACTTGGTGGCTCTATGAAGATTTGGGCCGTGGTGGTCAAAACCAATGGGATCCCATTTTGGTAGGTGAATTCACCACCCATTTTAGAACCTGTTTTAGTGGTTGGATTGAATCGGATGTTCACTGGGGGTACGATTTGGATTTTGACCCATGGCAGACCGGGCTGCCGGGAGCTGAGCTCACAACCATCCATTGGTTCGGCGCCATGTCCAGCTCCCTGGCCTTGGCTGCGTGTCTTGACCCCTCACCGGTCATTGCACAAAGGCGCTCGACCGACGGTAGGTCGGACTGGCGATGCGGGAATCAAAGCGAAAACGTGCTTTTTTTGCTGAAGCGTTCAACCTGTGGTCCATCTTCCACATGCACACTGCAGCTGCAAGTGCTCGCAGGAGTGGGGACAGCGGCCAAAAATCAAAAGGAGTACCCTGTTCTTCTCCGAACGATTTTGCCCGCTGGTCGGATAATCCAGGTGTGGCATGGGGATGAAAACTTGTTTTCTTTCGACACCGGAGGCGTACGCACGAGGGCAAACTGCCTTAGACTAAGGACATGCATCGCATACGTGACCAGTAAGTGCAGCTTTGCCCGTGGGGCCTCAAAGCTCAAGCACAAGGCCTGTCAAGCATGTTTGCATCCTTTGAGGCTTCAATGCTAGTGAGACGCGAGAACTCTTGCGACTCATTGCACACCGTCTCGGGACGCTCAAGCTGCAGGTGTGAGGGCCCCCTAACAAGAGTCATGGTGAGACCCACTGGTCAGAACCTAGTCCCTGCGGCACATCTGCCTGATTAGCTCGGTGTGCTGCGACCGCGGCACGGGAACGCCGGCGGCCCGACCGCCACCCCCCTAAGCTGTGGAGCCAAAATATATACAGCAGCTTGCTTGGAGCAAATGTCTCTGAGATGATTGGAATGACCAGCGAACATAGATTCAACATGTCTTGAGCCAAGAAGGGGACTTTCGTCTGAGCAGGGTGGAGCAGCCGAGTTGACGGGAACACCGCGCTGACCGCCAATCAATAAGCTACAAAAAGCTGATTTCCAAGCAGAAGGGGCTGCCTTGATGCCAAACGTTCCTTCTGGCTCGCGGCCCAAAGCTGGACCGATGTTTCACCTCTTTCCCAGTCCGCACCGCCAAGAACTTTTAGCTCTCGCCAACAGAGGCACCCTCTGCATCCGGCCTCAGTGCAGCGACGCACGAATTGGAATCCCAGTCCCATCAATTCCTGAATTGTCTCGACCAATTCTCTCCAGTGCCCCCAGGTCCGCCTGCCGCGCTCCTCAGCTGGTGCAATGCGAGATGTAGACGAAACCCGCCTGCTCGGCCGGGCAACAGCACCAAGAAAAAAGCCGAAGAGAAATACCAAGCTTCCCTTTAGGCAGCCTGAGCCTCGCACTTGAAGACGTTTCGATACCAAAAGTATGTATGTTCGCTGAAGAACTTGAGCAGGCCCTGCCTTCTCAAGCTCGTCCTGCACAAAGGGAAACCTCAATTTGGGCCGGGCGCGGGTGAAGCAACGAGAAACAATAAATACAAGCACCCCCCCCATGATAAATATTCCTTGAGGAAACAAATTACTCCAATGAGTGGGGATTGAGACTTCAGGCACTGACAGCCAGTGCAACCCAACTTAGCCAAGCAGCTTGTCCACGGAAAGGACCAAAGCGCCGCGCTGGAAGTCCTCGGGAAGCTCCAAACGGAATGCAGTTTGGGATGTTCTGGCCCTCAAAGTCCTGCTTTCTTGTTTCTATTGTTTTAGCAAAATACTAAAAAAGCCACCCTGCTTCTTTGGGGGGCACATCTTGAAGTTTCAGCCTTCCCTTTTGGGCAACGCTCCTTCATGGTGCTGGAGACGCCATCGGCCAAGAAGGTGGCGAGCTCCTCCGAAAGTGACAAAAACCATCAAGGCTGCTTTGCCATGGTTACTTCAATCAATCAAGCTGCTTGGTCTCATGCTTCCCTTCCCACTGTAAGGGTTCTAGTTGGAGGCTATTTAGCATGAAGTGCAAGAGCCAATGCCGCGACGGTGACAAAATCACTGGCCATATGCAGCTACAATGCCCAAGGGCTATGAAAAGCAGCCTGCCCGAAAATTAGAGCTATGTAACACACACAGCTCTTTACTTGTCAGCGTAGGCAAGTGCCTAAACAGGTTGCAAGCTGCTGAAAGCACATCCAGCAACTCCATGGTTGGAAAGGTCGGATGGCCCGAATGAACTAGTCAAGGCTTTAGCCTCAGGCTCAAGCAAAAGCAATGATCAATAACAAACAAGTTGGGAACCAAGAATGCTTACACAGCGTTCTCGCCGGTTTGCCGCGCGGCCTCTCACCAAAGGCTCTGTGCCGCTGCTGCCTGTCCTCCATCATGCCAGTCGCTTTTGCAGCGTCCTCCTCGCTCGCCACTTCCTTGATCCTTTCAATGAACCTGGCAAGTGAGAGACCAAACTCCTTGAAGTGGGGCTCTCTGAAAGAGTGCTTGGAAGAGAAACCTGACGGAGAGCAACCCGTGGGTCGGGTCCCCCATTTTGGAGACCAATGGGAAACAGCATAGATGCATTGCCTGCCTTTTGGCTTCTCCACGAGCATCGTGGAGCCACTTGTCCTGGTCCTGCCAAACAACTCAGCCAAAACTCGCAAGCAACCACACCAAATTTGTGAGGTCAACTCTCAGCTAAGACACCTTTTCTAGCAACTTTCGGCCCTCTTGCCTTTGCAGGATCTCTCCGGAGCTTGGAGAGAACAAGATCACTCTTTGGACTTTTGAACCCCTCCGGCCTCACGAATGTGCTTTTCAGCGCGCTGCAGCGCTGTGTTCATGGCATCGCCTCGCTCTGAAGCCCGCAAATGCAACCACAAAGCCTCTTCTTCTTTTTTTTTGTGCAAAAGCATGAACAATGAGTAAAGCTCCGACGGTGACCCATAATATTGGGTTGAGGTAGCACTCGCATATAGCTCACTGCTAGCGTTGCTTCTTTCGACTCTGACCTTGCTGAGCCTTGCTGGGGCACTAAAATACTTTCCTGACCTGACACTTTCTTGAATTGTCCCCACAAATGGTCCCAACAGTCCTTCTAACTGATGGGGGTACCAGTTTTGAATTTAACGTTTTTCACCTCGAATCCAGAAGGATATCGTTCTTTTTTCAACAAGCCACGCACCGGAATCCCACGACGGCCGCTGGAAGGATCTTTCAACACACTTGCATGGGTTGTTCTAGTTTAACAAACTAATTTAAGAAGAAGTGTCATTGATGGCCACGCGTCAGAGGGTGCAGTTTGTGCCCAACATGCGCAGGATATATATATAACATTTCGCACCATGTAGCGCCATTTGGATCCATTTGGTGCAATGCGCAGCCTTTTACTCCACCTCTCGCCGCGTGGCATCATTGGCGGCCATCATCTCGTAGCCGCTCTGCAACCTCTCGGAATCATCACTGGGCGCCGGCGCTTGCAGTTCTGGACTTTCCGCCCTCCGAATCAAAGGGGGCAACAGCTGCAGAAGTGTCTCAGCACCTTTGTCGATCGCCAACTCCATGATGAAATATGCCGCTTTGCAGGCCAAGAACATGGTGTACAGCGTGCGCACACCCACCTCCCCTTCCGCCGCGCCAAAGATGGCGTCCAGCATGAAGGACGCCACAAAGCCAGCAGAGACAAAGGCAGCTCTGGCCGTGCAGTTCTCCCAGTCCAGCGAGGTCATACGGGTGAAGAAGCCGTACATCACAACACACACCGTGACCAGCAAGCCCTTGCCCAGCATGTCCCGGGAGAAGGGTACGTGCAAGAATTCGAGCAGTGCATAGGTGACCAACCATGCCACGAAGGTGAAGCCCACTGCCAGCACCATGCGGAACATGTGGTGGCACATCCAGCAGTAGATCAGAACCACCATGGACAACAAGGGTATGCCAACGATGAACAACAGCGGTAACAAGGAAAATGCAAAGATGTCAGACTCACTGGCAGTCCCTGACGTGTCCTGGAGCACCTCGCTGTCACTTTTCTTGGTGAAGAAGTCCGCATTCAGCAATTCTGGCCCGTAGTGAAGCAGGGCCGGATAAAAGGCGAAGACCATCAAAACACCCATGAAGAGGTATATGACTGCCACGAAACTTTCGAACCAATGATTCAGAACCTTCTCCATGGTTCGAAACCAGCAGAGCTCCAACAAAATCACCAGGACTGCGTTGCACAGCCGTTGGGCAGGATCTGACAACCATGAGGCGAGGCAAAAGCAAGCAGCAAGCAGCAATGCCAGGACCAGCACTCGCCGAGTGGCAATCCTCTGATTGCCAAAGCCAGACCTAAAGCCGCAAGCTCAGGTACTTAATGGCTCCGAGGGAATGCAAATGTCTCCTTTAAGCGTTTTACCGTCTTTGAAAGAAAGGGATCCCATGTCACCCCCACAATAGAAGGGCAAAACTCCTTTGGCAGTACAAGCTCCAAGCTCCCCAAACATGCACAGCCGGTGGAGCCGGCAAAGCTCGGTGTCAGCCCTGTTCATCAAGTGACCCTGCCACATGTTCACAAAATATCTAATCATCAGCCACCCTGGCATTCAACCAGCTCATTGCCTTCCCCTTCTTCTGGCCGCTCAGCCACGAGAAAAGAAAAAGAAAGAAAAAAAAAGGCGGCGCTGACTCCTGACGGTCCTCGTGAGCCCCAGGGCGCAATAGACGGGCACCCAGGGCCAGGCTTCCGCCGCCGCCAGCGCGCCGCCGGCCGCGCCGAAGAGGAAGGAGCCCAGCAGCAGGCGGAAGCTGTCCGGCAGCTGAGGCGGGGGCAGGCACATGTGGCAGCTCAGGCGGTGAAGGCAAGAGATCACCGCAGCTCGGCACCGCAGGGCGAACCTCGGGGTCGCAAAGAGATTGGCGCAACGCACCCGAAGGACGGAGCAACTTGAAGAAAGTTGCACTGAAACTGGCGCGAAGGGTGAGAGCGTGTGACGTTCCGAGCCATCTGGTGCAGCATCCAGAACTGGATCCTTCCTAACTAGGTAGAAGCCTGTGCCCCCCACCCCCACCCCCCCCACATGCCCTTCTCGCGCTCATCTAGGAATTCGGAAACCAATCCGTTACATGTCCCGAGAACAGCTTGACAATTTTAGAGCGCTGCAACCTGACAATAGCGTCCCAAACGTGGCCCGTAACTGTGACAACCTGCCCTAAAGCCTCCTAAAGCCCTCTCTTCCATTTTAAGCTGGAAGGTTCGCACGGACTTTGGCGCGAGCCACCCAGTTCCAGGGCTGAAGCCTGGCCCCAGCTCCATGTCCATCGCGCTGCCGCCCTTTCGCAAAACGCCCGCGAAGCGTCTGAATCACTGAAGGGGCGAGACACCAACAAAAAAACAATGCCATGCGCCGGTACGGAGTTCCCCCGGGCGGAAAAGCTGATGGAACTTTGTGGATCAATCTTAGGTCCCTCAGGCATACGACCAATTAGCATCTAAGTACAAGAGGCGTGCAGCAAACAGGCTGCATTGTTGTACTCATCGAAATGAGATGCATCAATCATAAAACGCTGCTTGAGCCAAAGCGCTCTCCAGAAGCTGCAGCCTCATGGTGTCACTTGCGTCTGTCGCGCAGCGTTTGTCTGCAAGACTTCCCAAACTTTGCCCGACCCAGCACCTTCCCAGCTGCATGAGGCTCTCTAGCAAGCTGGCACCTACCCTTTCCAACCCAAACGCGTTGCAAGCACACGCAAGCACGTGGATGTTGAGACTCAAACTCGCAAACCAAGCCGCTTGCTTTATCTGGGTTCCGCGAACGACAACAATGCGAGGAGCTATTGAAATCACCGGTTTCTGCTGCTTGCATTGATCCAGCAAGTTGATTGATTCTGAGCTTCTACGTGGAACTGGTTGCCTCAAAGGGTTTGGGGACTTCGCGCTGCAGCGGAGAAGTCACACATCTCTGCTTTCGCGTGCATAAGCACAAGTAGAACGGCAAAGACATGCCTTCGGAAAGACGGCTGTCCGCTTTAAGTAGCGCATGTTCCAAATACTTCGCTCATTCGCTCAAGTGGCTTGGGGCAATTGAACGGATCCCAAGTGCCCGGCTGGACAGCTGCCCCTTCCGCCGCTCCTCCTGGGGATCGCTCCGCGTCTCAAGCAACGCGGCTGTGGCAAAACAAACATATCGTACGCCCACTGGCCCTAGGTGACCCATCACGGATGAAACAAATGCGAAGGGAAAGCATGGCAGTCGCAATGGTTACTTAGGTTTCATCGTGCCTACTCACCTACTCTTCAACAAATCCCACGTGGGCTCCACATTGTTGGCCCATGTTGGCCCATTGTCACATCTCTTCGGCGGTTCAAACAAGGCCAAACCAACAAATATTGCTTCAACTCTTCTACTTACTTTTGTGGCGGGCGCAGCCAGGCTAAACCAAGCCAACTAAAGGCTGTGGGGCCAAAAGCGCTATACGACTGCGAACGCGCCGTCGATTTGTTGGCAGCGAGGTATTGGGTTGGGCCCCGTCGGTTTCTGGTTGTAACATTGTCGCTTACTCACGCGTGCATCGTCGCAACCTGGCGGCCTGAACGACTCGGGAGTCCTCCAACAACTCTTTGGCGGCCTGCTCAGCGATTTGCTGCACCTCACCGGGAGTCTTCGACATGTCGGGGCAAACCCTCCGCTTCCGAAGCGAAAAAGGCCAGTGAGCTGGGGATGGCTTGTCCTAAGCGATGTGATGATTGCATTTGAAGGCAAACCAGTCTACAAACATTAGGCTCAACTGGCATGGGAAGCATATGCACATTTGCCATTCTGGCTATGGATCAAAGGGCCAAACGGAGACGCGTTGAACGCGACCCACATTTGTCAACAGCTTCCGAACGCTCCGTCGTGTCGTATCTGCCTCTAGCGTTCTGAACTGGTGCCCTGCTCACTTAGGGGGTTGCCGCCACGAAGCAGGCCACGCAAGACTTCAACTCATCATTCATGGATCGGCCATCAGGGGGGCGAGTAGGTCATTACATGGCCATGGGTCAAAAGCCCGTACCCCCAGTGAACATCCCCCAATCCCCACTAACATAGATTAAAATGGGTGGTGCACCTACCCCAAAATGGTACCATTGGTTTTGACCCACAGCCACATCTAAGGTAGCCAGTTCCAACAGGTTCATCTCATGAAGCCCAACATACAGAACGCACCTCTTCGGCGATCTCAGGAGTCTTTCAGCGCCAGCGCGCCAGGTCACTGTGGATGGACGAAATCCATTTCGCACCGCCTAAGAAACCCTGGCTTGTGATGATTCCCCCTCCAAAATGCCAAACAATGGCTTCCCATGGTTTCCAAATGGTGCAGGATTTGGTCCATCCAGAGTATCACCCAGTCATTGTAGCGCCTGAACGCTCAACTTCCGCCGTGCATATCGATGGTATTAACGCCTTGCAACCTGCCCGGAAATGCCCAAACCTGGTCGGTTTCGGTTGGCAAGGCTCTGTCACTTGGTCTCCTTCGGAGGCGCTGGGCAGAATGAGGGACATCCTCACAGAAACAAGCAAAGCCCAGCAATCAGCAGGTCTTTACATAAATGCAGCTGCGAGTTTCCGCGCAATGCAGCTGCCAACAATGAGGCCCTTGCCACACAAGTTCGCTGCTCAGATTTCACTTAACCTATGCTCTGATCCCTCACCAGATTGCGCGTTGGGCGTGGCTGTAGAATAACTGGAAAAACACCGGCAATGGCCTTCCAGCCAAATATTTGCAAACTGATGCCGCACAGTGGCCCTGAGCAGGGAGGCTTGAGCTCCCCTCCGCCAGTTTGGACGGCAGAACCTCTGCGAGCATCCTTCGCAACCTTCCAGCAAAGGAGTTGGCTCCCAATGGAACCGCTGCAAGTAACTCACATCGGGGATGGGTCATGCCATCATGCCAGTCCAGACCACGCATACCGAGCCAAAATGCAAGGTTGGCTATTTCGGGCTCTATGAACCTTGCGTGATGTTTTTTGGGGGGTGGCCCCTGCATGAAAGGCATGGCCGCGTGACCAACCGCATGCGGGCCCTCTGAAGGCAAAGGCCTTGGGATCGGCAAGTGCTTTCAAACGCCCAAAAGCGAAGCAGCCTGCCGCGGCTGGGCCATCTTGAGGAGAAGCCAGCCAAGTCCCATCTAATTTCGCACGGCTCGCATAGAGATTGGTCGCGGGAGAACTGGAAGAAGATCGAAACCCAAAGGTGCAAACACACTCTCCCGAGTCTCCGGGTGGCTGGAGGGAAACGGAATTCACACCAGAGTGAGGGGATCCTCCAGGTCGAAGTGAGCTCAAGAACCGCCAAATGAGAGCCTCAGCCTCAATCGGGTCTTTGGACCGTCTCTCCAGTGGTTCTCCTCAAGGGTGCGACCCATTGTGCATTCCACCGTTGGCTTGCCAGGTCTTGGCACTGTACGCCTGTGCGTGTGGCAACAGCTCATCCGAAAGACTCTCCTCCAAGCTGCAGGAGTGCCAAACTTTGCAAGGATGCCGAGATTCCTCTAGGGCCCCTTGCTTGAGTTCCAGCATGAGACCAAAATCCTCCGTACCCCGTACCCAAGTGTGATATACTATGCGTGGGCTTTCAACTGCACAACAAAACATCAGGAACCAGGTCTGGTTCTGGGAGCCGAGCTCATGAATTGGAGGCATTTCATCATGTTTGCCAGAAATTGTTCAAGCACACTTCCAGTTGCTGCGGAAGCAAACAAAACAAAAAATATATACAGCCGTGACTTAGAACTCTTCTCTTTTCGGGACCTTCCGAACACCTGTGGCGATGGAGTTGCTCCCCATGGCGTTAAACGGCGATGGAGTTGCTCCCCATGGCGTTAAACGCCTCTCGGATGCTGACATTGGCTGTTGCCACGGGGCTATGAACAATTTATCATCTGCACCTGCTACATGGCCGAAGCGAATTGGGTATGGGTCAAAATCCAAATCGTACCCGCAGTGAACATCCCAATCCCCACTAAAATAGACTAAACTGGGTGGTGCGCCTACCCAAAAATGGTACCATTGGTTTTGACCCACAGCCAATTCGGGCAATACTGGCGGGGAAGTCCCATCACCTCTGAGGCCGGCCGCCGGCCGGCCTCTAGAGCCGAATTAAATCCTTGCCCGAGGTCCGCCGTACCTGGGCAAGGCTTGCTGTTGACAACTTGGAGCCGACTGGTGCTCAAGTATGTGGGAGATCCTGCAAGTGTAAAGCATCTGTTTTCCAAAGGGATCAGGGTTTGAAGTTTAGGACGCGCTACGTGCAGTCGCACTGCAGTTGCGAGATCTTTGGGTTAAAGCGATCGATAACACCATCTTAAGAACAAACGAGAAAGCAAGCGGAAAAGTCGACACAAACACAGGCCTGACCAAAAAGAGACAAAGGACAACAAAACACGACAAATCCAGACAAAAACAACAAACAAGAACAAACAATTCCAAAGTCAGCAAAGCACGGCATGAAACTGATATTCCGTGGTGTGCCCGGATCCTTGCACTGGACCTGCGCAAAACATGATGGCAATGGTTCGCATCATTGCCATTAGCTTCTGCGCTCGCGAAACGCCATCTTGCCAGGACACATCCCGCACATCCTGGAACTTCGGCTGGGGCAGCTCGAGCCTGAGCTAAGAGCAAGCTCCCAAACCCAAAAAGCTTGCGGGCAACGGCTTGGTCTGTGGGTAGGATGCAATTTGACCAGAATTCGGAGCTGCAAGGCAGAATGTGCTGGCCTCTTGGCAAAGATGACAATCGGACAATCGCGTCGCGAAAACGCCCTTGCTTTCGGAAAATCAACTGGGGCCAGTGAAAGCGGCATTAGCAGGCCGTTATGTCCTTTGGGTTGGTACTTTGAGATTGATATCCCTGGTGCATCTAGGGTCCCCCAAGCTCTCGGTGAACCCCGCAAGAACGGCTCCGGCTCTTGTGCTGTCAACTTCCTTGCTTCCGATGGTCATTGCCGAAATCGATGCGCCTTTCCTTTCCAACCCCAGCCCCAGACAAAGCAACTCATCCATCAGCAGCGCAAAATCCTCCTTGGAGTGAGTGAGTCGCGGGTTGTAAGCCTCCCATGGCACAGGGGCAGAAGCGCGACCCTTTTGCAAGGCCGCAGGCGGCCAGAGAAACACACGTGGCATACACAATATGTCGAAAAAAACCTGTGACCGCACTCCTGCCTTCTCTTCACCGACGGTGGAGAGATTTCTGCCATTGTACTCATGACCTGGCTGAATACAAATACCACTAGGCCCAAAGACATGAGAAACCATAAATATGCAGCATGTCCTGGCTAATTGTTTATTGTGAGGGGGTTTGATTTAGAAATTAGAGAACTGAGGCTGTCATTACACACACACAGGCACAAGCACGAGTCACAAGCACCACAAGCACAAACAAACAAACAAACAAACAAACAAGCAAGAAAGCAAGCAAAAAAGCAAGCAAGCAAGCAAGCAAGCAAGCAAGCAAGCAAGCAAGCAAGCAAGCAAGCAAGCAAGCAAGCAAGCAAGCAAGCAAGCAAACACACACACACACACACACCCACACCCACACCCACACCCACACCCACACCCACACCCACACCCGCACCCGCACCCGAACCCGCACCCACACCCACACCCACAAGCACACGCGAACGCACACGCACACGCGCACGCGCACGCGCACGCGCACGCGCACGCGCACGCGCACGCACACGCACACGCGCACACGCGCACACGCACGCACACGCACACACACACGCACACGCACACACGCACGCACGACACACACACACACACACACACACACACAGCCACCCACCCACCCACCCACCCACGCACGCACGCACGCACGCACGCACGCACGCACGCGCGCACGCACGCACGCACGCACGCGCGCGCACGCGCGCGCTTGCGGTACTTCTCAAAGGAAAGTTGTTTAATGCCATCTGGATCTCTTCCGTCATCTTGCGGAGACCTTTGACATATGTTCATGCGACAAGCTTGGTCTGGTGAGCCCAAGGTGTGAGGCAACTGAAAACAACAGCGAGAACAGCATCACTTCTCCGATTGGGGAACCAACGGCTGAAATCACACATTTCACTGCAGGCACACGTGAGGGATCAGCCCACGTTTCCCTCGCCATACCGTGGCTTCGCTGCGTCAGGTAGGTAATTATGGTGAGCCTGATGCCCCTGCCGGTAAAGCCTGACGCCCCTGCCGGTAACAAACCGAAAGCTGTGGTCGACAACCCTCAGCGCTCGACTGTTTTGTGCTGGCGGGGGGCCCAAGCCAACCAACGTGAACTGTTCACATCCGAGAAAATGGAAGAAAACCAAAAAGAGGGGCCCTGTCAAACGCGTTGACAGGTCCAATTTGCATGCCCTGGCCGCTCCAATATCTCCAATGAAAAACGGACAGGTGTGAGCACCAGACCTTCGTGCGTAACTGCTTTGAGTGCCATAACAATCACTGTCTGCGGCAACACGATGATATACGTTCATGCACTCCGCCTTTCACTTTAAGAATGCTAGTGCCCCACTGTGTCGTCAATCTTGAGGCGCACATCCTTCTCAATAATGGATCTGAGACCTTAACCTACGGGCTATTTCTGGAACGCTTTGCTCGTGATAAAAGCGAAAGGGGGTGAAGATTCGCAGGTGCCGTCCTGGGTAAATCCGGGTCTCTGAGTCCAGGCTGAAAATCTCCCTGTGCACACTCTCGTACAGCTGCTCTGCGCTGCCTGTCACGATGGCAGCAAACCCTCTCCCTTGTACGGGCGACGGTTTGGATGTGGAATATACATTGGTGGTGGTGGTGGTGGTGGTGGTAAGGCTCATGCTTCTCCGCCTGAGCCCTGGCCTCCTGGAAAGTCAGTGCGCCCGCAGCCACGCACCAGCAAGGCGTCCCCGGTAAACACTGCCTTGGCCGCGTCGCCCCGCAGCACGAAGCTCAGGCAGCCTGGCGTATGGCCTGGCCAGTCCGGGCTGAAATGTGCTCTGGGTCTGCGACATGCTCAGCCAACGGTTTCCATGGTTTGCCCGGCTTCTGCGTTCTCCGCACTTGTCTCACAGTCCGCATGTTCGCCGCCAAACCGATGTTGGCTACGAAGGGCAGACCACAAAAAACATATTAGGGCGAGCAAGCCGGGAGCATGATCAACATGAACTGTTGCAAGGGCATGGGCGACTGTGGGGAGAATGCTTCTCAGCATGGGTTCCACGGCAAGCTGTTAAAGCAAGGGCGTCGCGCGGCAAGCTGCGCTGAAAGACGAAAGCAAACATCAACAATCGTCGTTGACATCATGGAATTTAGCTCACCACGCTGGGTATGTCAAACGCGGTGATAGCAAATCATCGCATCTGTACTGCCAAATGTTGCCTTCAAATGGTCAAGTAGCAATCCATGCGGAGCTTAGAGCTTGCAGGCTTTCTAGTTCATGCAAAGGATCATTGCTTCCAGGTCTCACTTTCAGGGTTTCAACCAGGCGTTTGAATAATGCGGCTGGGTGCATAAAGCTCTTCTGGCAAGAGCTCCTCTGAGACAAACTGCTTGCGACGTCAGGCGGACGGATGTTGCACGGAGCTTGGCCCAAGAGCCTCCTTAGAACCCAAAACAGGCTTGGGCGGGGTCGAAAAACCAGGGTTGCCCTGTTTGAGCGCTCATGATTTGATTGGCCATCTGACACGGCCCCCTCATAGCGCGCCTGGCGTCTCCCTCACCTCTAGGCTGTACTTGCCAAAGTGCACCATGTCGCCCTGAGATAGGAACCTTGGAAATTTGGCGCTACGGTTGGCATGGAGCAAGGCCCCGCGCCTTGGATTTTCCTGCCCTGTGAATTGCCTCACCTTTTTTCGTGTGTCATTGAAGTGTGGATGTCCTCAGCATCCAGCACAAAGTACCACCAGACTGTCCCCAACCCACTGAGGACTTGCATGCCTTCCTACACAATCACAACCAAACTTTCAGCCCATACCCCTTAGAGGCAGCAGAGTTCTGTGAAGGCTGTGACATCAGCATACAACAAGAACGGCATGCACGACTCTCGTGAGCTGCGCGTGGCCCAGGTTTGCAAGGCATTGCGCTGCCAAATCCAAGCTTCAACACGTGCACGTGAGTCCATCGGCTCTGCGGCACTCAAGCCTTTGCTGTACGACACAGGGGGCATGATCTCTGAACCACATGTCACTGCCAACCCTCCCAGGAAGGAGTGAACCACACATATAATATCAGTGTGTCGTGCTTCTGCCCGTGCCAAGTTGGACCCACTGCCACGTCTTCTGGGGTGCCACGCTGGTCTCCTTTGGCACCAGAGGCCGCGGAGCATAGCAGCAGCACATCGGCCCGCAGCTTCTTGATCATGTCACTGCCTTGCCAATCGCAAAGCTGCAGCTTGCAATTGCCGAATCTGCCAACCAGTTGTGCCCAGGCGAACCAGCACATGTTGTGCATGTTCAACCGCGAGCATGCGCATTCTGAGGAGGTTGCTGCGGCATGCAGAAACCAAAGGCTGCTACAAGAGCGCTGTCTGGGAAGGCGGAGCTTTACGTCGGATTGGCAGTTCACCACATTTCACCTAAGCAATCGAAATGCACAGCTTTGATAAGCAGGTCCGGCAGCCCCTGCCCTCGTCAGCAGCAGTTTGAAGATGGCAGTTCCCTAGATGGTGAGCCGAAGGAGACAAGCTCCTCAATCTGCAAACAGCGTGTTGAATTTGGGGCACCGCTCCGGTCCTCCCTGCCTGTCATGCTCACATGATCATAGTGGCAGTGAGTCTGCAGCGCGTACCTTAGCGGCGCGCCCGACACGACTAAGATTCCACTTGGCCCCTCAGAATGATTTCAAGTCCGTCTTATTTTCAAAACAAATCAAACACTGGGCTATAGTATCGGCTATAGTTTCTACAAGTGCCAATCTCGGATGGCTTGATTCCTGCTAGGCTTGGCTCCACACACACAAACAACCAAACTGCAGCTTGACTCAACCAAGATTCTACATCAATGATCTCCCCAGGCACCAAAGCTTAGAGAAACCCCTACAGTAATTAGGTGGCTTCACAGGTTCAGCGATATCCCTGCCTGAGCCAGCCCCCTGAACTCCATCCCAGGCGCTTCAAACATAGACCCGCCTCATCGAGTAGGGTAAGATCTGCCTCTGTTCTGTTCAGCAGGGGGTCGATTAGCACTGCCTCCTGCGGAAGTGAAGCCGTGCATCTGACCCACAACAATAGAACAACATATGAAAATAACATAAAATAATATGCTTTTCTGGATGCCTGGACCATGCAGGGGCCAAAAAAAAGAAAGTGGCACCTGGCTAGGCATTCCAAGCAACTCTCCTTGGTTGCTTTGCATGCCAGGAGGTAGCTGAAACTGCAGCTCTGCGGCTCAAAGAATTGCTCCAGCCTGGGTTGACGGCTCCCACTCAGCAAGGATTCAAGCATGATGAGCAATGGAAGCTTGCTGCGTGCCCACAGCCTCAAGATATTTCAGCACCGGATCTCTTTACGTGTCACAGCTGACACGGCATATCTTCAGGGGAGACGCGCATATTGGGTCGCAGCCAAGGCACAGGCAGCCAACGGATGGCAGGCAAAGGGGCGAGCCCTGCCTGCGCCAAGTGCGGCAAGCTCATGGCACCAACAATCTTCGGGGATCTAGCGAGTCGCCCGGAAAAAATATGGATGATGCGGTCTTTATCCAACCCCGTGACCAAACCGAGCCGACTGAAAGACATCTCTGAAAGCAATTGACGGCTCCTGCGGCGCTCCCTTGGCAACCGTTTAAAGTCCCCAGGGGAAAGGCAGCAACTCCTTTCAAGCTTTTTCACAGTGCACCGTCCAATGACTCTGCCAGGCAGCAGCTCTGGCAGCAGCCAATTCCGCACCCAGCCAGAGTTCATGAGACGCTGCAGGTACTTCATGTCCTGGGCAGGCTGTCCACTATTCCCCCAGTGACAGCAAGCGGCCGAGCAATAGCGGTACGAGTAGGTACTTCCTGCACCCCAAAAACTGCCACATTGTCAACATCTCCACTTATGGTTGATGCTGGGATCATGGTTGACTGATGCTTGGTTGGGGCTCCGGGTTTGCTTCTTGGCACAAGATCGCATGGCACGAACAGCCGGCGCAAACGACAAGACAGGCAGCGAGGCTGACTGCGTGCTTAATTTGACCGATCTCTTGAATGCAAGAAAGTTAGAACCTCATGTCTTGGAAGGACAGCTGGCCAACGCGAAAACTGATTGACTGGGGTGACTATTGTATTCTGCGTGATGCACCCTTGCTTTCAGTTGCAGGTTCAAGGCTGAGGCTGGGGCAAGTCAAAAGCAAACCAACCAAGACCTTTCGGAAACAGACTTAATCCTCGCCCACTCACGCTGACTATTGAGGTGGCCAGCGCGGCGGAATGCTTTCTCAGACCTTATCTTGTTGCCGCCCTTCGGCGGGAAGCGTGGCGGGCAAAACAAACCTGTTCCCTCAACCTCGCAGGGGTGAGGCAAAACCCAATCGAAACACAGTTGCTTCAAGTCCAACCCCCCCCCAACGACTCTTTCAGGGCTCAGCGGTATAGTGCCGGCGCCGTGCTTTTGTCCCCACAACTCTTCTAGCTCATGCGACCTGGTGACATCTCGGTTGCTTTCTGCTCCCCTGCTGAAAGTTTAACCTCTAGTGGTTCAATGGAAAACCCATTCGTTGGCCAAAAGCTAAAGTCCTAACATCCCTTGACATCATGCGCCAAAGACAACGTGCCCAAGGTGTGCGTGGGTCGTTCCCCCTCTGTGAAAAAAAAGAAAAGGCGCGCGAGCGCATGTCCTCGGCCACCCGCAGCGCAGCCTCCAGGTTGTGGCCTGGGCGACTAGCTTTGGGGGCCTCGGCCTGGGGGGAGCGTTTGTGGGTTTCCTTAGAATGCCGTTTTTTGTTCTGTTTTGTTTCTTATTAATGCCTTCAATGCAGGTGAGATCGGCGAGGGCTCAAACTTCTATCAACTCATGCGCGTTTGCGGAGCCTGCGAGGAACGCCAAGACGTTCACTTGCCCCATGAGTCTCCACGCTGCTCCGAGCCCGGTCATGCAATCAGACACCGGGGCATGTTGGAAAAAACACAACAAGTTTCAGCTCGCCTCGCTTCAATGGCATGGGGTCAGCATGAAAGCAGGCTGCCTCATGTCCATGCACCCGAGCCCACCTGCTCGCTTCGCCAGCCATAGCACCAGAAGGGCAGAGGAGCGTGTGCCCGTGGTGCACCTGCCAAAAGCGTAAGCCATACCCCTACAAGAGCCTTGAACCAGGTGCCTTTGCATCCACAAAGTCCCGCGCTCAGTGAACCCTCAAAGGACATTGTCACAATGCAACCTCTGGGTGCCCAAGCAAAAATACATGCCTCTTCCTAAGGACACCAGGCAAGGAGCCTGCCAACCCCAGAATACTGCACCAAACCCCATGGATAACAAACAGTCAAATGAAGAGCATTTCAGGAACAAACAACGATAATGGCATCTTCCCATCCTCACATGCTTAGTCCATCAACCTGACGCAAATGACCCCATGTAGGCGCAATATTCCCGGAGGCAGTCATGCAATACCAATGCTATCGAATCCCTGCGTGATCCCTCGCGCCAAGACAACATATCATGGATCAATAGGCTACATTAGGCCACTTCCTGCGTGGCATTTGTCGAGGCGCGCATTATGCTTGCATGTGGCGTGGTCGTCACGCTTGTGCCCCTGATCCAAGTGGGGTGACGAGAAGTGCTAAATCACGACAAGCCGCTGCACCATCAAAGGTCTGGGCAAAGAACTCATTGCTTCGAGCATCTGCTGCGTCTGGTTGGCTGGCACAGGAGGCCGGAAAAAGTCTAAGACCTTCAGCCTCAGCATGCGCGGCACGAGGACTCCTCCCTGTGGACCCCTTCGCTCAAAGGAACCAATGAACATTTCTACTGGCTGTCAGGAAAGCAGGCGACCGCTATCGACCACTTGTTCTCAAGCGTTAGGGATGCTTTTCATTTGAGCGATTTGAAATGTGGTGGAAGCACCACATGTCCAAGCAAATTGCGGGCTAGCTCTGCTATGTTCTGGGACTGGTATGCGCAAAAAGTCTGCAAAGCTCAGCGCCATGCGTGGGCTGCTTACACATTCTCAGATCCTTGCTTACATTTGCCAAACAAAGCCTCCACGACATCACGCAGCTTCAGCATAGGCAAATGCATGAGACCAAGCGCAAAACTCCAATGCAAGGAGCTCCTGACTCCGCGTTTATGTGCATTTGTTTAGGCATACCACACACACACACACATATATATATATATACATATCTCAATAGGAGCCTATGGGAGGGTATGAATTTGCATAGCACAGATTCGCAGCACGACTATGTAAGGCTTTTAATGGCGGCTCGGCATCGTGACTGCCTTCTGCCCTGCTTGGTTCGTCAAGTCCAAGCTTTCGGATCTCACAACACGTACCAGTTGACATGGCCCTCAAATACCCTCATGGCCAACTGCACGCCTACACGCAGGTTGAGAGGCAACTATTGCGCTAGTCTCCCTTCCGAACAAAATGACGGTACACCAACCGCAAACTGTGCCAATCCATGGAAAACTCCCCGCTGTTGGATGCACATACCGCGTTGGAGACCGTGCGTGGCTGGGCAGGAACCACCCTGAGCCCCGAGCTGGCAGCCCGCCCGCTGGATGGCCTCTGTGGGGAAGCCCACTGCTCGGTTTGCGATGCCTGACATGGCGCAGTTCCACGCCCAACTAAACACAGGACTGGACCTGCTAAGGGAATGACAATCGAAGCTCTGCGCTAAAGCCGCCCATGCATGCAAAGGCTGGCCTTGATATGCCAGAGTCAGTAACTGACTCCTGCAACAGTTGGGAACGCTAGGGCTCGAGAGGGATTAACCAAAACAAGCCAACTGTCACTCTCGAAGCCAAAGCCGCACTCGCTGGCAAAACAAGGACTTCCGGGAACCTGTGGCTCTCTGCTGTGCGCTCCGAGCGGCGCGGGCCAGAAGCGAAGTGAGGGCCTGAAGCGGCGAAGTGCATCTTGTTCGGTACTTGAGGGGTATGACAAAGTACCAAAAGGATCCAGCCAAAAAGAACTACCACACGAAATGCCACGAACAGAGCTAGCAAGCTGAGCAAACAATCCAATGCCCCGGCTTCAGGAACAAATGCCCTCATTGAGAAGGGCCCAACAAAAGGCAAGGGCCACCGGAAGCAATGGCAAACTTGCAATTGCTTGCATGTTAATTTCTGCACAATTTCACTACGCTGGTGGCCGGCAGTTTTCGGCTGACAGCATGGTGTAGGGAACAGCCAGCAAACGCAACCAAAGGCTAGCGCCGATAATCATGACGCTCGTGATTCTATTCATGTTTGTTGCTGATGGGCAGCTTACATTGCCGTCCAGCGATCCAATCTTGGCATTGCGTTGGGTTCTGAAATCATCTTGATGTGGAAACAAGCATCTCCAGCGACCATCGGCAGCGGTCGGAGATTGACCAGTCGGGATCAGCAAGCGGAATTCGGACGTCTCAAGCATGGCCCTCACGCTATCACATGTGAATGCTGTATTTGGGATTGGTGGTATGGTTGGTGTAGCGGCGTACGTTGTGCGTATATATATATATATATATGTTTCTCCAGAATCAGGACGTCCGGCAGGCAAACCAACTATGGCATGCGCATGTCGGTTTTGATGCGCTGTGATTGGATTGCATCTGTTTATGGAGGATTAGCCAGTGAATATACGTCTGGAGAAGGATGTAAAATGATATGAGTTGAATGCAAAAAAGTGTTGTCATTGCATTGGTGTGTTGGTACACTACTCATTGCGATTGAAAGTTGCTTGTTTACATGTTGCTTCTTCATGACATGGATTCGACATGTAGGATGATTCTCTCAACTGTGGATCATCTGCATTAATCCAATCCCAGGTACATTCAAAATAGCCGACCCTGCTGAAACCATCGTAAAAATCACGCAAGAAGGAAACAATCGAGTCATACCAGCAAGGCTTCGCACCCCAAACATCGTCATTCCCCACACTGCTTGGACCGCAAGCGACCGCCGTGCCCTCAGGCCCGGGCTGATGCCCTTCGGGTTCAAATACAGCCAGGATTTGTATCGCTTCGCCAGCTGCACCATGTCCGCGCTGGACAGGGTGCCCGCCTGGCAAGGAACGCCCGAGGAAATGCGCAAAATAGAACAAGTCGAACAAGTGCCCAGGCCCTGCTGTGAAGCATGCTGCAAGTACCACAAGCTTCCTGCCAGCTGACGGTTTGTTGGCTTCTGTGAGATCCCACGGGCCAAACAGTCATCTCTGCTATCTGGCCATCCTTTGCCAGGCCAGCTGGCAGGGTGGAAAGTCACATCATCCAAATTATCCAAATTCAAGGAGACGCCCAATTCCAAAGAGTGTCTGCATGACTCGTTTCTGGCTTCATCGCGCCGGGTCAGAGAAAGGGACTAGGCCTTCGGGAAACCTGCAAAAACACCCGGGCAGACATGCGCAAGCGCCAGTCTGTAACAAGGCACATTTCCAGCATTGGGAACTGTACTCAGGGGGAAACTTGTGTGTTTTGTCCTCATGTCAGGCAACCAGCCTTCTTCAAACCTTGGTATGCAAATTAATTTCAATTTCAGATGGAATACAAGTAAGCTACTCCTCAAAATGTCCCGAACAACATTGGGCAGCCCAAGCTAATCACCAATTTGTAAATGTCGACTGTTGAAGTCTGAATGCTCGCAAGAACGGCTTAAATATTTGAAATTTTGTTCTTGCCATCTGAGGCCCCTTTTGCCGAAAGGTGAATCGGGAATTCTTCACCCCCTGGCTACACATCGCGCTAAACTTGTGCCTGGCTTTTGTGAAGGACGGTGCAACTGCTGGTGGGGCAACGGCTGTCAACAAACACTGATACCACTGAACACTGGCCCTTGAACTCTGTCGCAAAGGGACATCCCTCAAACCCCCCAACACCCCTCTCCCCCAGTCCCTCACCCCGCCAACGACACGTCCCCCGGCACGGAGGGCGTCTCCACCCCCAGCATTTCCGGCTTCAGGTGCACCCCTCTGGGGGAGTCACAGCCATGACCTTGGAGCGTAACAGCGACGCCTCTTCTGACATTTGTCTTGGGGTTGAGTCCGATTCCATTCTTTTCAACCACTGGTCGATTTCCCTGGGTTTCCGCAGGTTTTCTAGAAAGAAGAAGGTACCCCTAGAATTTGGTCCTGCCAGTGGTCAACGGGATAAGTAGAGATCCTTCATGAGAGGGAAGGGGGGTTGCGCGATAGTTTCCGGCATGGCAAACCTTCCCACGCCTTGTGGACGCCACGGAGGGAGGCCATGCTGAATAATGAATGAAAGTATCACCCAACGCCTAACCCACTGACTCCACAAGTCATCGAGCAACCAAATGAAACTGACTTCCGGGATGGGCTGAGCTATCCGCCAACAGCATGGACTGGGCGCCCGATTGTAAGTAGGCAGCCCCAAGCATTACCCTGGCCATGCATTGTATCTCCCAAAGGACTCCTTGGCAAGTTTGAAACATGTGCCATTTCACCCAGGCGCTGCAATCCTTAGGCAGCACAGCCACTGTCCCATGTAGGACCTGAGCGGCGAGCAGCAAGCAATGTCCCACGCATGGGCAAACGATGGGCTAAGGAAACCATCTGCCCGGCTTCCCAATCTTGGGGACACCAAGCAACCCAACTAAAACCCTGATGGATTATGTAAGGGCCCCCTTGCAGTCAGGTATATTTCGACTCCCTTTTGAACCCGACGTTTTTCAAGCTGAGCGTAGACTATGACTTCAACTTACACCATCTATGAGAAAACCTGAAAAGAAAACCTGATTCCCAAATCGGCTATCCTTAGCAAAGGGGAAAGCCACACTTGAGCTTCATAGTGGTAGTTGAGAGTCAGAAACTCCAAAGTCTCTGAATTCTTAAGCTGCGAGTTCTGTCATGCATGCCTGCCCAGCAGCTAGACATGGAAATGAACGAATCCATTGGCATCCACTTGGCGGGCCATCGGCTTGGGATGTTCGGCCATGATGAACTAAACTTCTTCTGTGACTTAGCTGCGTTCAGCCTCTAGGCCCAGCACGTTGTGCTTGCTGCAGCAGCCACCCATGGCTGAGGCACGAGGCCAGTTTCAAAAGCCCCAATGCTAATTGGGGCTTGTGTCGGAATGGCCTCTGAAAAGGACTAAGTACTTGGAGCTCCTCAGAAAGACGTTGCCCTTAACTCCTTAACTCTCACCTCTCCCCGTTACACGCTGTTGAGCACAGCCACTGCTCCTGTGTTGTGGCCTTTGGCAATCCTGGTGACATGGTTCAAGCTGCAGCCGAGACGGAGACACACACACACACACACACACAAACACATGAGTATCAGAACCTGCTAACAAAAGGTGCATCATAATGATGCGGTTAAATGCATTCGCATCAGTAACAAAAAGCAAGGCTCCGGTCACTGTCAGCTTGCAAGTCGCTATTGCTAACGGAGTGTCCCCACAGCAGCACCTGTTGCTCATTCTGAGATCCATCTTGAAATTCTTGCCACGTCTCTGTCCCTCCCATGGGAAAAGCGTCGAACTCAGCGCTAAAGGGCCTGATGCTTGATGTGCCTGACCATATTAGAACACACGGGTCTAGGTTTCTTTCTGAACCCAGGTGCCAAGGTTGTATGAATCATAGGAACCGCCGTGAAAAACAGATGCGAGCGTGGTACAAAGTGGGAAGTCTTACCGGCAAAGAAAGTCACAACTTGCCTGAAACGAGGAATCGCCCAGGCAACACTTCACAAATTGTGACGAATATAGATTCCTCTTGTGCACAAATAATTGAGTCGTAAGGTATGGTTGTTGTAAAGGCCACACTCCGCCATGCTTCCTTAACTCAACACAGGCGCTTCTGTCCGCCTTGAGAAAGCCCGGTAGCACCCCGCTGTCGCGGGGGCCCAGGAATCGCACAGGCACCCCCTGCGAGGCTGCTGTGGTGACCTTGGCGTCTTTTCAAACCAGCAGTCCCCAAACAGGGAATTCATGCAGTGGAGGCGCCCGCAAATGTGGACCCGAACATAGCCCCCCCCCCCCCCGCCCCCGCGAAGAAACAAAAAGCGCTTATGGACCTTCCGTTTAGGGCCACGCAATTCAATATCATGACATGCTTTGGCTCAATGAAAGTAAGACGTCAGTGCATTGCTAGCGCGCACTTCATCAAACATCAACGCCTGGACAATGCGCATTTATGCACCTGCCACAGCCTTTGCATTTTTGATGAATGAGCCGAATCCTCCCTAGAACAAGTTGACGAGAAGTTGCTGTTTCACCACACTCCGCGAAGGACGCGCAAGACGCCCGCAGCATGGCTTCGCCATTTTTTGCTCCAGTGGCTGCGTCACACCGCGCCGACAAGATGAAGAACTGAGCGAGCCGAGGCTGGGCCGAGCCAGGCTACTAGTGTCAAAAAGTCGGAAGGCGCACTCTGCAAAAGCTTCAGCCAAGCAAGCAGCGAAGTGTTCGCAAACCTCTTGGGATGAGCACTGTCAACCTGTTGAGATGAGCACTATCCAAAACTCTAAGCCCGGCTGCAAGCAGAAACAGACCCTTCATGTTCCGCAGCTTAGAAGCCCTCAGCCAGCTGGACCTTCTCAAACTGCTTCCTAAGGCATACCAGTCACGAATGCGGCCGCGTGACCCTGTGCGAAGTACCACAACGCAAGCATCAGTGACTTGACCGAAATGATCATATCAAGGTCGCCTGAAACTTCTACGGCAAGGATCACTCATGACCTGCAATTAGATTTGGGCGGCCTACCGGCCTGCAACAATTACATAACCGACCCGCTAAGACTAGAGTAAACATCCCTGTACGGTCTCAGATTCTGACTGTCGTCTTCTGTTGGCAAAGTTGTTGTGCGGGTCAGATTATATTGAATGCAATGGGAAGTGGCAACTCCAAAAATTGGAAACGCAGTCAAAAGGACGACCCTCATGCAATGTTTACCGGGTCTGGTCATGCCACACAGGAAACTCCGTACCAAGAGTCTTCTTCAGCACGAAGCTGAGCTGAGCAACGAAGCAAGAGAAGGCAAAGGCGCAGAAGGCGTAAACGCGATTCATGTCCTGGAGAATGCACTCCTTCTCCTCCTGTGAAGCCAGCTGCCAAGACCCTGGTCAATCAATACCGAACTTTATCCTTGAGACTTGCCCATCCCAGGTGGCAAATGTACTCTAACAATCCGCCTCAGAACGAATGCAAACTTGGAACTGCGGTCTTTCTTCCATCCGACAATGCAAAACTCTGATCAATATCTCCCCGCCATTTTTTCACAGGAGTTGTTCAGGCGTCTCTGGGCCGCGCTCGGCCTCCAGCATGATGCACGCATGTAGCTGCAAGCAAAGGTTGGAGGCAAGCCACCAAAAAAAAAAAAAAAAAGGCCGGCGGATGGACAAACAAAAGACTAGCCGGGAGCAGCAAACGAGATGTCCTGCCCAAAGCCTCCCACGTTGGGGTTGGTGGTGATGGGCTCATCCTTGTCAACTTCATCGCCGACCTGAACAGACTGAGAGAACCGTGCGATACGAATCGCGGCCATCCAAATGTGAGGAATGGTTCTGATCCGAAGGTGCCAGCTACGTTCCCATCATGAATCGAGCATGCGAAGAATCTTTAGCATTCGGGGCTGTCCCGGACAGGCCGCCAAACTCATTCATGCTTGAGAGGGGGGCAGCTGCGCAGGTATCACAGGGGTAGCACAAAGACTGGTTTCGGACCTTTGTCCACTGTGCTAGCTTTGGCATGGAGATCCATGTGCACATCCGCACAAAGCACAGATCCATGCCTAAAGGCCAAATAATCATAAGACGCAAGGTTGCTACCATCAATTTTGATGCCCTGCTGGACACCAGGATGGAAGTTGCTGTGTCTGGGTCGCACCTGTGTACAACCCACCCGGCTCGCCTGCACCACAATGTCGGCACCCGTCAGACACTCCTGAGTCTTCACTTCTCCGGAGGGGGTCGTGATGGACACCTCGCACGGACCGGGCCATTGGTTCCACTGAGCCTGACGATCCTTCCTCAACACGCCCAAGTTGAGCTTGCCCCAAACAACACGCAGGGGGCCACGCTGATTGAAAATGGGCTGCACGGACTGATCGGCCATAGGTGTATGACAACCCTGTTCCCAGAGCCAAACTCGCCTTGAGGCCATCGATGGCTGTCACGGTTCCCGTGGCTGCAGCGAAGAACTGGTTGTTGTTGCTCTGGTTGCCCTCAGGGTACACCTGTCGCAAGGGCGCCCAGTAATTAACATCCACGGAACATCTCAGGCCTGTCGAGCTAAGCGGAAACGTGGATTGTATCAAAGCCCATGTCGGCTGTGTTTGTGTGTGTGTGAATATTTATATTAGCTTGTTTGTTTCTGTGCTTGGGCTGATGTGTTGGTGATTGATTGTTTGTGCGTGTGTGTGTGCGTGTGTGTGCGAGTGCTTATATTTGGTTGTGTGTGTGTGGTGTTGTTTGTGTTCCTGTTTGCATTTGGGTGTGTGTGCGTGTTTGCCTGTGTGTGTGTGTGTGTCAGAAGCGGATGCGCCCAGGAACCCCTGATGGTACTTAGCCACTTCATTCAGTGCTTCCCTTCATGGCGTCCCTTTCCAGCTGACAAACCCAGCAAAAGCGGAGGGCAAGGCAGAGATATCTGCAGCCCGTGCCTGGCCACGGCCACGGTTGCCGCCGAAGTAGAAGATGCCCTTGCCAAAGATGACCTTGTCCTTGGCCAACCATGCTAGCAACTGCAGGAGCCAAGGTGTCAAAATGAAGAGAATGCATATGTAAACAACCGGAGTCAACATGGCCAATGTGTGAAAGCTAACCTTGGAAATTTGCAACACCCACCGATTGGAAAGTGCATTTCTTTATCAACTGGTGCCAACTCGGAAGCAACGGTCTAATGTGATGGGTGGGCACTTCTCTCTGTTGGGTTGCTGCTTGTCACTCTGTGAAACCACCCATTTTCTGATCTGCCATGCGAAATTTCTGTTGTCACCCTTCAACCCTTGTCTCACTTTGATCCTCCTGGCAGCGTTTGCCCATCTTGCTCCAGCAAATGATAGCAACTGCTCCCTGCTACATCCATTGGAGATGCAGCAGAAGCGTCGTTGGTGTTGGGATCCGGGGACAGCACGGGGAGCACCATCTTCTCGTAGGTCTCGCCTGGCACAGCCGAACAACCCTAAAGCTCTTGCCCAGAGGACCGCTTTGAAAGCCGTGGCCTTACCGAGGCACCATTACCATCCATCCAATGCTGGAAAGGCTTTTGCAGTGGCCACAATCAAGTTTGTGTTTAGCACGTGAAGCAAGGCCGAAATGCCCCGTGCCTGGAACAGGTCCAGCCACCACGATGTTGGGATAGTCCTGGCAGGTTCAAAAGGTCCTGAATTGTCAGCCCCTCACGCACTAAGATGGCCCGTGCATGGCGCAGGCCCTCACACCCAGGCGGTCCTTGCTGTAAGGAGCCCAAGCCAAGCCCTTCATCTCCTTCTTCAAGACCTTGGGCAGCCGATCCTTGGGAGCCAGCTTCCAGCCATCAGGCATCACAGCGATGGCGCCGATGTTCATGGGACCCTTGGAGCCGTCAGCGTTCGGCTGGCGACGCTTGGCGTACTTGGCGGGGACCTCCACCTCCATCTTGAAGATGGTATCAGGGAGCACCGCCTGAGGCAGCCTCACCTCGAGAGGCTTGGACGCCAGGTGGCAGTTGGCGCAAACAATCTTGCCCGTGTACTCGCGGGGGTTCGCGTAGTTCTGCTGGGCAAAGATCGGGTAGGCCACCGCTACCTCCATGGAGCTGGTGAAGACCATTGCCGCCGAAGCACCTGCCAGTGCCTGCTTGGCAAAGGCCTGGATGTCCTGCACGTGCTGATCCGTCTCCTCAACTGTGGGCGCGTCGGCGCCGTTCAGCTGAGCGCGGCATGCCACCAGGTTGTCACGGTAGTAGGACCTTGCAATCACACCTCTCAGTCCCAATTCAGATGCCTGCAACAACTACGCCTAGGCAAGCTCAGAACTGAAGTCTTGAAGTCCCGTCCTAGCTCAGAAAGGGTGCAATCATGGCGGACCAAGAGCCAACACCAAAAGGAACCGTGAAATCGAGGCAACGTGTTCAAAATACATACCGTGACCTGCAAAATCATCACAGGCTGACTTGAAGCATCTGATGGTCTGGATCCTGCCTTCCATCTCTTGTGTGTCCCTGCGCCCAAGAAATGGGTGCGGGATGCTTCGGAATGGCTGGTTTCGCGTCCGTCCCCAAGATGTTCAAATGTGGCCCCTAGTTCTGACAGACCCAAATTAAATGCCAGTACCTCACCTCCCCACTGTCAATCCTTGCCTGGAAAGGGGCAGAGAAACATGACATTTCCAGCCAGGCTGCTTTTGAGAAAAGGCATGGCAATTTCTAAGGGGTCTGTTTCTTGCCCCAATGTCCTCATCAGGTCCCTGTGCAAAGTTGAATTTCTCATTTGTGCTCTGTGCAATTCAACGGGCGAGCACAGGCAATGATAGAGTAAGGGTCCCTGTTTCAAAAAAAAGTCCAAGCAAAGAGGAAGCAATCCCATTATGAACAAAGCCATCCAAGCAAACTTTACAGTGATTCTTCAAATAAGAGGTACCCCTTAAAAAAACGTCCAGATGCCAAAAAATAGGCTGGTCGCCATTGCCCCCTATTAGGAACCACTGCTACGAAACGTCTTTGGCCAAGGCGGCTCCGCCATGCCCACCACCACCGCGCCGCCGCTCTTCCGCGCCCGGCGCTCCCGCCGGGACGTTGCCACGCCCGCGAGGGCCGCGACGGCACAAGCGGCGCCTGAGGAGACGCCACACTTCGACCCTGGTGGAAAAATGGCCATGGGTCAAAATCCCGTACCCCCAGTGAACATCCCAATTCCCACCACAATAGACTAAGATTGGTGGTGCACCCCTACCCCAAAATGGTACCATTGCTTCTGACCCACAGCCAAATGAGCCCGGGTCCTTGGGGAGTGGGAAGCAAAAAGGATCAAGGACGCAACTCAGCTGGCAAAAGGCGGAAAAAGGATGGGAGTTTTGGTGGGCCTTTGCCGACCGGAGGCCAATGCACATGCGAGCAAGGCTTGCTTGGGAGTGGAAGCAATGGAACACATGAGGTGTGCAAGCTCACATCCCATGGCGCCGTGGGACGCTTTGTCCTATGAATCCCACGGTGCCCAAGTTGCCACTAGACGGGACAAAGAAAGGGACATCCCACACTTGGCACGAATGCCTGGCCGTGAGTTTCGGAATGTCTGGTTACGGAAAATCCCGGGACTGCCATTGCTTCCCCGCCTGCCCCACTGGATGCACGGCCGCCCGCAGAGTAGCCACTAGTCTTAGTCCTCTGCAGCGATGCTGTCTCTACGTTCGGCGCCAGCGCGGAAGGGACAATGAAGGCCGGCGCTGCGAGAGCCATGGAGCTACCGGCTACTGGTGCGGATTCGCGTGATTGGCCGCGCTCTTGAGGCTGAACGTCTGCCAGTCGCGATCTTAACGCGTGGAGGCATGAAGCGATGTTTTTACTTTATTTGTGTTTTTTTTTTGGGGAAAAAAAACTACTATGTGGCACGATGGTCAAAGCCGTCGTGAAAGGTATGGTCGTGAGAAACAATGTCTACTTCTTGAATGATTGTCAACATCCACGGCTTGGTCTTGCCTGCCGACGCATTGCCAACGAAATTGAGCCCGCAGCCAAAGACTGAACCTCCTGTCTTTGCAAAGAAGCTTCCAAAGCACTTCAAGACTCACGCCATGGATGTATGTTAAACTGTGGCTCGATTGCAAATTCTGGCCGACGAAATGGACCACACATGGGCATGATGGAGCGGCCAAGCTGCTCTGTCGGAAGCTAAGTCTTAACTCAACACTTGCCCAAACAGGGGTGTAGAAAGCCGGCTGTTGAACAAAAACAAGCAGGCCCTGTGTCAGAGACGTTGCCACAGTATCAAGGGCAGCTGCACACTGGCCCCCTCTATACCCTCTATGTATATAATATATATATATATATCTATCTTGGCGGCCCTGCAGCAGCGGCGATATTTCCCCCCACTGCGCTGGTGAGGTGGTAGGCCCAGAAGGACACCTGCCGTCAGACACCGAGCCCCTTTGAGCAGTCTACATTAGGAATCCGAATCTTATGTGCTAACGGGACTCCGGTCACTTGCATTCCTTTAGCATCTCTCTCTCCATGCGGGTTTTAGGATTTGGGTGTCTCTCTCTGGGTGTAGAGTGGCGACCCAGTGAGCGGCTTGCCTCGCCTTGATGGGCACCAGAGATCGCTCCGGCACGGCCGCCGGCCCTGCGCATCCAAAACGCAGCGGTTGCAACACACCGGCGCACGGTTCCCCAAAACAAGGTGGTTTCCGGCGAGACTGAACAAATGGATTTGCGGTGCTAAGGCATTCGTCTTGGCGTTTGATGCTTGTTTGCATCCATGTGTGTGCACACGCCGCTGGTGTGTCAGTGCGTGCGCGCACGTGTGCGCAGGCGTGCTTCTCGCTTCCGCAGCTTCGCAGACTTTGAAAAGTAAACGGAAGGTGTGGTCGTTGTTGGCAGGGCAGAAGTAGAATTGGCATGTGTTGGCGAGGAATTATTGTGCGTGTGGAAGGGCGAAGCCAGATAAATATGCCTTACTCGTTGGCAAAAGAAACAGCATGCGGAAAAGGGCAGTATCTGCACTGCACTCATTCTTGCTTGTGTATTCAAGCGCCACTTGAACCAAATACACCATGGAATCCTAGGAGCACACTACATGCCCAAGCGATACCTCTTGCACACAGCCTTGTGGGGGGTGCTCTGCCAACCTCAAGAGGGAAAACACACATGCACATGTTGGCAATAGTCATGATTCATCACAGGATGATGTGGGTGTTGTGTGGACTCTCTGCTTGACCAGCCCCCCTTCAGTTCACTTTGGGCCGATCGAGCCCACGCGAACCCCATGGACCTCAGGGTCGCGGTCTTGAAGCCTTCTGCACAACACTCACGACGGACCCCGGCCTGAGAAGAAGGGAAAGTGCCGCTTCTTGGGCGGCTCCCTTATCACCTCTACAGGCTGGATGTCCGGATTGAGGTGCATCCAGTCAGTGTCTAGGCGCGCGTCTCGAATCAGAGCATCGCAAAATACAGGAGCCTCAAATTAGTCGCTTCCTCTTGGCCCTTGGCGCACTGTAAAACAACCCAACAACTGAAAAGAACAAAAACTGAAACATCGACGAGAGGACAACGACCAACACAAGCCTCGACCTGTCTGACGACCTGCCACAACACAGCATCCCAACATGTCAGCAGGTTTGGGGTGCCTTCCAAGTCGCTAGCAATGCAGCAAGGCACCCGTCTTTCAATTTTGCCTTCGTGTGCAGCCTTTGCATTGGTGATCGTGACTGGAACGCATGGAGGGCCGGCCACCCGCTTGGGAAGACTAGAACTGAGGCTCCCGCCGTTGGGCTTGCGCATGCCGCGCATCTCCCAGCCTAGCGCCGCGTACGCCATTGCCATGCCAACAAAACTTCGAGTTGGGCCCAGTCACCAAAACGTACCAAAACACCCGATTCACAGGCTGGCAACTCGTGAAGACCTCAGCCCCCCGCGTCCAGAGGACACCATGGCTTGGACACCTGCAAGCCTGGGCCAAGGAAGCTGCAGTGAGCGCCCCCCTCCAATCCTCTCAGCCCAAGCAGCTGCAACTCCCCAGAAAACATTCCAATGGGGAGATCCTCCAGTCTAAAGCATGTTGCTTAAGTTTTGCTCATGCTTTTATTTTGGCTGCTCTTGTTGTGCCTCTCTGTTTCCCTTGTTCCATTTATGAGCTTTACCAACTTGTGTGTCTGATTGAACGGTATTGGGGGGGGGGGGTTGTGCCTTGGGGACTCGATTGTTGTGGAGGCATCGGTGCCGAAATCGATACCGGGCCCGACCTTGAAATCTTCGAGTTTGTGAGCAAAACCTGTTTGTTCACAAACAAAATACACGCATGAAGAGAGCAAACAACCACATCAAGTAGCAGAAACAATCTACACAGTGCTGCAACATTTATTCACATCGCGTGAAACCTCCTGCCCCACCAGCGTATGATCCCTATCCGCGATCCCATCCCCGATGCTCGGCTTGGCACGGGGTGCCCTCCAGCATCACAACCTGTCCGGAGCTCCGGACCAGCTCCATCTTCAACCCTCCGATTGCAGATTGCATCATGTTGCATGCCAAACGGCCATGAAAACCAGTGCGTCGTGGCCTTGCTCAGTGTCTGCCTGCCTCTGGCCGCAAGGCCCTGAGGGCATCTATCACCAGGTGCGAGGACTCCTGGCAACTGCCAAACAAAAACGGATGCAACTCACCACATCTCATCTTTCTCTTTCAAAACATCTCGGTTGGCCGGCTTGGTGCACATGCTCAAGCACTACACAGTGCAGCCAATTATCCAGCAGGGCCCATCCCGACCAGAACTCACAATGCCAGAGCCAAGTCGCAATCAAGCACCTTTCCACGCGTTGGTTTGATCGTCTCCCTTCTTAATCGTCCCAAAAGCTGCTGTCCGAGTTTCAATCATGCCGCAGGCCTTCAACTTGGTGCCTCTTGCCCACCAGAAACCCCCACCCCCACCCCCGCACCCCCCTTCCTATGGACGTCGCAAATGCCTGCCTCCTCCAGGTCAACCGGCACCGTCCCGATCAGCAGCACCTGCCAGGCAGCCATTCACCCCCGTTCAGTTGGAAAAATTGGCCCAACCAAGGGCCAAGAGGCTCCCAAGTCCTGATTCTGGGTCAGAAAGTTGACCTCCTCGAAACAAATTTCTACTACAGTTCTCTTTTTGTTGGGGGGAGCCGCGCCACAAGGTGATTCTGAGAACCACTCAAGGATACGTTTTTTGCGCCTCGCGGCCATCACCGGCTCTGAGGAGGGCCAGGTTTGGGTGGGTCACCGCGGCGGCCCTGCCCGGTCGTAGCTCGACTTAATTGACCGCAAAAGCCTTCCGCTTCTAAAGAACAGAACAACCTGAACATGCCAGTTTGATCCACTCAATGTCCAAAGGAAAGCGTTGGTGAACTAACTACAACCTGCCCAGCTGTCAGCAAGTGCCGATCTGGCCATACTTGCGCTTTTGTGGTTTCATTGCGGTCCTTTGGCGGAAATCATTTGCATGGCCATCCCGTCCTGCCGGCCCGAAACCTTGAAAGGTAAATGCCCACCGCCTTGGCCGAGCATTTGGGGGAGGCACTGCGCCTGAACTCCTGGAAAGCACTATGGTCATTCGCCCATATGGACGCAAACCTGGCTTTGGTTCGACAAATGGACTTGATGCCTTCGTGCAAGGTAGCTGCAGGCTACATTGGGGGAGGAGCACGTTCAACGATTCATGGGCTCATGATACCACACCAGCGTGCCCCTCGCATACACTAACACTGCATCATCAACTAGTCAATATCGAGCTATATTAAAGTGCGAAGTGAAGCCTGCAAACCCTCAACGCAGCTTTCGGCAGGTGAGGAGTCTGACATTCACAGCAAATGCCATCTTCACCTTCTGGCCACCTTAGATGTATTCACCAAGGTGGCAGCAATCCCATCCAATCCCTACATCAATCAGAGAGCCACCGTGACAAGGTCAGCTTGACAAGAACAGAAAGAAGCGCCTCAAGGCGCCAGCTGGTCTTAGCTGACAGCCGGCGAATGCGTTTCACGAATTCTTGGGGTCTCGGACTCAATCTCCCTCGGGCCGCCCGGCACAGGAAGCTGCAGCCAGCAAAAAGGACAGCCGCCGCGCCACCGTCTGCCCCCGAGCCTCAGCCCGCAGTGGCCACGAGCCCACAACCGCCTTTTGCTTCAACAAGGGTTCATCCATTGCATGGCTTGCCTGCGTTTGGAAGGTGACCACTCATCCAGCCTTATGAGGCCTGAAACGTGAAGTAGCTTCGGAGGCGTATGGTTGAACCTTCAAATTTGCTCAGCCCGCTTGCTGAGTTGCCTTACATCACTTCGAGCAGGAGCACCCTGTTCATAGCCACTTTGATAGCGTTCCTATGCCCCATGTCTTTTTAGTTTGTTGAGTCATTCCAGCAAGTCTTCGCTGGAAAAAGTTGTCTGCCATCCAAACATCTCACCCCCCCCGCCACGGCTGCCAAGCAGCGCGGGCCGGCGCCTCCATGCCCAACAGTCTTCGGGCTAAAGGGCACGCGCCCCCAAAACCCAAGGTGAAGCTGACTATTTCAGCTGGCCCTTCAGGTGAAGCTCCATCCATACTTCATTCCCCCAAAAAAGACGATGGCTTCGAGATACTCAACGGCTTGCACATGCATGAGCCCCGAAGTTCAAAAAGCCCCCCCATCCCCAAAACGGAGGATATTATCAGGTGCCCAGTGGCTGCCGGCAAAAATGCTGCGGGCGGCACCTGGTGGCCAAGGCTAGCACTTCAGGCACAATCTGGTGCTTCCTGACTCTTGACTTTCTATCGGCTGGCTTCCCCTCGTTACCAAACACAAGGGCCTACTTTCCCTCGTTGATCGACATGTTCGGCCACAAGACCTGCTCAGGGTTGCCCGTGCTGATGTTTGGTCCCAGGAACATGCACGCCCACCATATCTATCCGCCGGTATTCCTGCAAGGCAGTTACGAGTTGCACCTCGACAATTGTTGATGCTACGTGGTGAACCAGCGGGACACGGTTGGATCTACAAATCTGCTACGTCAACTGGTAATTAGTTGCATCCGCGAAGCAGCGCCACATCCCTCACATGGACTTCTGTAGTGAGTTGTTGGCCTTGTGTGCCACCTTTGACACATTGCTTTCTCGCCAAGGTCAAGGCATGTGATCGAAGCTTTCGTGGGGCACATGGTTCTCGCACCAACCGCTGCAACGGCGCTGGATTCGGGACCTGTGACACTTCCTCCTTTGCTACCTTCTGCAGCTCCTACAGCCAGCGCCCTGCACTCCCATCGCCCATTTTCTCCAAGGCATCAACAATCACAATCTCGCTCCTTGCGCTCCACGTGTTCATGCACGTGCCAGGCTGTGCAACCAAAGGCCTTGCAATCTCTGCCAGCGCCGCGTTGAACAAATTGTGCACCAGAATGAGCAAAAATGTTTGACATCGCCCCTCTCCAGTGCTAACTTGTTGACGCAGGTCAGGTGTTTCGCTCCTTGAGATGCGGTTTTTAGGTGCCTCCCCGAGGTCGCGACTTGGAAATTGCGATTTCAGGGCCGAGGGAAGGAAAGCTAGCTCAAAGCCTGGTCTCAAAGAGGGCCTCACCATCAACGATCTTCCCAAGTGCGCCCACTCCTCTGGAAAGCAACATAGACCCTCTCTCTTTTAGGCCTGGCCACGTTCCAATTGAGACTTCTGACTGCACAGCGCCGCCGGTCAGTCACGAGCGGAAGCCAAAAAACCATGCGGCAGGGTCGAACCCAAAGAGCAATAGAGATTGAACCCCAAAGAGCTGCATCAAATACCTTGGCATCATTCAAGCAAATTACAAACAGTGCCCACACAGAGGCGAAGTTGGACAACGCCCAAAAGGTTGAGATGCCATCGCTACGATTTTGGTTCAGCCCTGAAAGGCCGCTGCCTTTGGCTCACAGGTCCTCCCCGCCCATCGGCTCCGGCATGAATTAAGGGCGTGCGTACATCAGGGCGACAATGCGCTGAGATGTCATTAGGTGCCTTGCCCCATCATGCGGCCTTGCCTTGCCACGGCAACTGCTGGGATTTGAAACGACACACTGGAAGCCAATACGGTCGTTTTGGGAGGCATGTTGGAAAGTACTTCCGTGAAACAGGTTTGCTTGGAAAAAATGCTGTGATTCTGGCTGCCTGGTGCCTCTGTCACGCAAGAACGAGGATCCTCCAGAGAGTGGCTGAAAACACACCACACAGCGATGCATACTCCCAACACACTGTTTGCAAAACAAAACTGCGCAGCTTTACAAGCTTGCATCAGCTCACTTAAGTGCTTGCTTGATGCGGTTCGCATCGCGCCAGCTCACCGACATACTTCTTGACCCGCACTGAGCCCCTTCAACACGATGGACACAAGCCGTTGCTGAAACATTAACATGCAAAATCCAACTCTGGCACTGGGTCTAGGGGGTTCTGACATGTGCCCGAACATGCTGGGTGGCGTGGACAAGTTAAGAAACCCTGGGAACAAAAACACAACCGTATTCAAACAGCGTGAGCCCAATAAACATTCAATTGGCCGCGCGTCTTGTTGAACTGATGGCTGGATTTACAGCTGCTGAGTAGCGACGCGCCGGAAAGCAATGTCAGTGCCACACATGTCAGCATGGCAAATGCCATTTCGAAAGAATCAAAGGCTTCAGGTTTGGTTCAGGAGCAGCACGTTTCTCGTCAGAGTGCGATGTAAACCAAACATTTGGGCGCTTGACAAACTGCTAGAGACCAGCTTTCACCCGCAAGAAACAGCATGGAGAGGGGGGGTTCCCAACAGGCCCAGCACTTCGCACCGCCCGAGGCCAAAAAGGCAAGGGCTCACATGTAGCCCATGTGGGCGCCCGGTGGCGGCATCACACGGCTGGGCGCGAAGCCGCGGGTCAACTTCCTGAGCGCGCCCATTCGCAAATGACTCGCCAAGGCTGCCTGTCAAATCGAATGCTGAACATGAGCGATTGAAAGCCCGAATACGGGAACCCTCAATCGAGGCTCCTGTCAAATAGGGAGGGTGCCTTTCAAATACGCAGAAACCTCCGATTGCCCGGCCAACATGAGCCGCAGACCTCGCGCGTGCAGAAAAGATGGCCACCAATGATATCAATGATCTGACACCCACTTCTCGGAAGGAAGCTAATGACATCATTCAGGTCCTCAACGCTGCCTAATGATGCAGCCTGTCTGAATACTGGCCCCTCAAGCCCCCCTCTGAAGCCATGACGCACAAAGACAAAGCAGCCCACAAAAGGACCAATCTGCTTGCGCCATACCGGCCAAACCCACTCAAGGTCACCTTGCCGCCGGCCGAATGGGTCCTTTTCTGATAGCCAAATGGCAGCCGCTCCCCGCCCCCCCTTCCCCGCACACAAATACAAAAACAATAACCACAACAACCAAACCACAACAACCAAACACCAACTGCAAACGTTCAACTCAAGTCTACAAAACCTAAGCCAACAAAACATGCCACAAAATTAGCTTTTTTTGTTGAGTTTTAATGCCATTTTACGGGTGCCGTGTTCCTTTCACGCGGGCAAAACCCGCGAGTCCGAGCAAAAGCGATGGGCTGCCCGGCTCGTAGGCCTCCGCGGCCTCTTCCCTGAGCCGCGCCTGCTCCACCGCGAGGCCTCGAAGTCGTGCAACCCTCACCGAATCGGTCTCCGGAATCGGTCTCCGGGTAGGAGGGAAATGGCGGAACTGGCCTAAGGGGGACCTGTTTTGGGGGTGGTTTTGGTTTGGGACCTCTTGGTACTGAGTTATTGGTGTTTTTTTTTTTTGGGGGGGGGTTGGCAAACCATGCCAAGCCATGCCAAGCCAGCACAAAAGCTCAACAAATGAAAAGAGTCCAACAGCACAACTGATCTACAGCTTGCGCTGCGTTGGGTAGCTCTGGGCCCACTGCGCATTGATTCGCAACGCCTCACAAAGCACACGGCTTTGAGGACAAGCGACGTGCACATGGGCATGTGTCAAAATAGGGGGGGCTGAAAAACATGGCTGCTCACACGCGATTGCAGCAAAGCCACTCGCTTCCCAGCTTCTCAATCTGCGATGCCAGGTTCTTCTCCTCCTGTCATCGGGACCCCAAACAAGGGTTATCTCCAGAAATCCCTCTTCCCAATCTCTCGGGGTGGTTGTATCCCTCTCTTGCATACCCCCAGAACCATGGGTCTGTTCCCCCACTCTCAAACAGCAGCAAAGTCCCTCTAAAAATGCATGACCTATTTTTTTAGCAAGCCCCCCCCACAACAAAAACAACTCACCGACCACCACCACAGTCGCAGTATTGAATGTGTGAGGCAAAACCGAGACTAAACAATTCCAAAATATTCTAAACCAGGACGCAACTCAACCTTAACAAGTACTAAACTAGCAACAACTCAAATCGAAACCAGCACAAAAGTAAAACATGTGCCTGATGGTTGCTGTTTAAAACGTAGCTTGGACATATAATGTTGAAGCCCACTCGGACGAAGGCCGAAAAGCACTGAGGGCGAAAGCTCCGAAAATTGAGCAGGAATCGTGTTCCGCGGCCGCCCTGCCTTCTCATCGTCGAAGGTGAGTCGCTGGTTCTTTGGCACCCGTGCAATCTTGGGCATGTCCGCCTTGGACACACATGGCCGTGGTTGTCAAAACCGCTTTGGTCCCATTTTGGGGTAGGTGCACCACCCATTTTAGTCTATGTTAGTGGGGATTGGGATGTCACTGGGGGTACGGGATTTTGACCCATGACCACATGGACAACCCCAAGCGTCAAGTCCCTAAACAGAAATTCACAGCACACAAACACATGAAACAGGCGCGCGTCAAGGGTGAACTCCCAATCCAAATAGCGTGGTGCATGGTGTCTCGTCCTGTTGAGCGAGTCTTCTCTCAGCTATGCTGCATGTTTTTACACTACTTGGGACTGAAGTGCCTGAAACACGGCTGCATACATGACAGAACATGGTTTTCCCGTTCCGCATAGCTGATGGGCTCGTAAAGATTGGAAAAAAAACAATGACTCCAACTCATGCGAAAATAAGCCAAACATACTTCGAAGGTCGCTGTGCCTGAACGTCTGTCTGCACGCCAAGTTGCCTTCTGGCCGCTGAGCGACGCTGCAACGTTGCCCGCCTGACTGAGGTAGGCTGGAAGCCTTAGCACGCAAGCCCTAGTCAACAAGGAAAGCCCTGCCCATCCCGAACTGCGACGAATCTGATGATGATTTGTGTAGATCTGTCCAGGTCAATCCAAATAATTTGCGGTCTATTGGGACAGATGTGTGTGTGTGTGTGTTGCATGCGTGTGTGTCTGTGTGTTCTTGTGTCTGCGTATGTCTTTGCCCGTCTCTGCCTCGCTCTGTGTGTGTGTATCTGCGTCTGCTTGGCATCTGTCTCCAACATTCCTCAACCGATCAAAGACACAACAGCAGCTACACAGAATGTCAAACATCTCAGCGCCGCATGGTCTCAGAGGAAGGAAATCAAGGTCAAAAGCTTGAAAGGGAAGACCGCCCTGGCAGGAGTTTCCGCCGGGCCACGGCATAGCAGAGCCACGCGGGTCCAGAACCTGGGCAGCTGGATCCCAAGCGAGCCGATCCCTCAGAAGTGCTGACCGTGTGTTGTCAGTACATGTCCGAGACCTTTTTGGTTTCTGCTGGGAGGAAACAAGAGGCATCCATTTTGCGATTTTCTTGTATTGCGACAGCCATCATCATCTGCTCTATGATGGGATCTTCCCCCACAAGTAGGTGGGCTGCTATATGCTGATGTGTTGTTTTGGCCTGGCGCGGCCACCAGCCGTTTTTGCCCATGTCTGCCGCCAGCCGCCGATGAGAAGCTGCTGAAACTATTCCTATTGGATTCCCCTTCCCCAAAAAGCCAGCTGTCCAGCCAGTGGGATCCAGCGGGCTACATGGCTGGAAGTGCCGAAGAGGAAAACCCACCTGGCCTCATCCTCGATGCACATCAGCCCCGCCCCTTGATCTGACCAGCCTGGCACGGAACGTCTTTGAGCTGATGTCTTCGAGGCTTCCCCGGTCGTCTTTGTCCCAGTGCCCCGCGCTCATGCTACTGCAACACTCCGAACAACAAGCACAGTAGCACAAAGCATGCGCCACAAGCATCACGCCCTTTTGGACACCAAACTAGGGCCAACCTGCCCCAAAGCAGGCCCACCAAAAACTTGACAACCTCCCAACCGCCCCATGCCTACATGACACCACCACGCCGGCACACCAAGCCAGCTTCTTGGAAAACTAGCAGGTGGCGCGCAACGTGACCTTGCGGCCGTCGATCTCGTAGCGGCCAGGGGCAAGTCGCCGCAAGCTGGGCCGAGGCAACAAACTGCGTGTACCGCTTGCGCTAGAGGCTGTCTTGGAACAACGTGTGTTTCTTCTTGAGTTTGGCCCACCTTGCAGCATACGTATCCAGCAAACTCTTCCCTTCCCAGTCTTTCGGCCGAAGACATGAGGAGCCCGGCGTCAGCTTGGAGGCAGCGGCGGCATCCAAGGTGCGCAGGGCGCTGCCAAGCATCTGGTCCTGAGAGAGTCAGTCCGTCAGGGGCGGTCGATGGCTGTCGTGCTCACCTGCGTCTGTCTCTCAAGGGGGCATGGAACCCTTTTGGATAACCGTGCATGGGATCGCTTGGCTTCTCTGAGAGTAGGTCAATGGCCCAGTTAATGCCGCAACAGCCATCCCAGGGCCAGAACATCAGAAACAACTATTGCGGCATTGGCTTTGGTGTGGGAACTCGTGGAACTATCCATCATGCCAATCGGCCAGTTCGACTATTTGCAAGACTCGCTTTGATATCAAAGCTTGCCCCATCTGCCCCCAGCCCTTCAAGTGCGACAGCAGGCACTTGTTGTTGGTTCAAACACCCATTGAACCAAAAAAACTGCTAGCCCAGCAGCCCAAAGATGAGCAGCAACATCTTAAGCTGAGGTAACAACCAAGCTATGCTACATTGCACGAGCAGGACACTTCTGGTGCCGTTGGCAAAACGGGTTGCGCACATCGGAAACTCTCTCTCTCTCTCTCATTGCAGCTCCCCTACCAGCCCTGAAGCAGGTCACTGACCATCTGTCAACTTCCTTATGGCTCCCCCAGGGGCCCAGCCACGGGATCGCCCAGGTCCACCTGCCATGTGGAGCAAAGCTGCGCTGTGTATGCCAAATGCGGCCCGAATGTGCCAAAGCCGCAATGTAGGTGGCGGCCGGCACAGGGTTCTGACCAAAGCCACCGCCCCCCATGGTACCTTGGCACACATTTGCATGTTGAGGGAACCGCAGAAGGGTAGCGAACCTCAAAACGACAGGCCCACATTGTGAGGAATTGCGACCGGGCACATGGCCATGCAGCAAAAATGGCCACGGGCGCTTGCGGCGATACGTGAAACGGGCGTCTGTCAATATAAGGGAACCAAGCCAAATGGCCAAATGTGAAGGTTGCCTTTTGGCCTCACAGCCGCCCCCCAAATCTCAAACCAAGCAGCTGTGCATGTAGAAGGACGGGTTGCTGCTGGTCAAGGAGGTCGAAGACCGGCCTTGGGCAAACTGCGCCTCTCATACTGGCAGCGGTGAACGGGTCGGTTCAGTCAAATCGCTGCTTGCAGACACTTCAGCATGCAGCAGCTGATTGACGGAGCAAGCCACCCCTTCAGAAACCTCAAAGTCTGCAACAAAGAGGTCGCCCCTATAATTCTGCCGTGGTCGCCTTGATCCAGCCGCCGGCCCTCCAAACACGCTAAGCGCTGCGCACATGGTGAAGGAGTGTGGCGGTGTGTGCGTCGGCTGCCAGGAGTTCTCACGCCTCAGTGAGAGCTGAGGGCCTGCAACAGAACCCCGAAGCAGGGCTTCCCCTGGCCTTGTCCTGGGCGAATGCGTCATGTCAGCAATGGTACCTGAGCGCCGCAGCTGGCACATCTCCAAAGGCAAAGGCCACTAGAAGTCGCATTAAATTCTTGCATTTCCGAAACCGAAACGAGAAGGTGTCCTTGACCATGTTCCAATCTTGAGCAAGGTCTGGCTAGATATTGCGCACCTGCCCAGGCTCCAAAACATGAACTCTGGGCTGACAGCACTTGTGTGAGGCATACCCTCTCCCAGTTTCCAAGCGTCGCGAGCCTGGGGAATTGCCGAGCTTGTATTTCTGGCTTCGGTTTCTCTAACTAGACATGGCGAATAATTGTTCTACAGGGGCGGCCCTCAGCACAAACACAAATACATATATACAAAAAAAAAAAACCTAGGTCCCAAGCTCCCCTAAGGTGCTCACTATATCACCGGCTGAGTCATTTTTTGCGCTGGGGCCTCCGGCCGCTGCGAGGTGTCCAGCCGTTGCGCAGGCTGCCAGGTGAGACCTGGCCTCGCAAAGTCGCGAAGCCGGGCGTTGCCAACTCCGGGGGGTTGGGAGTCGGGCTGTCCTGCAAGGAGCCCATGGACCCCCGGAACAACGTCTGGCCATTTGGCTGTGAGTCAAGAATACCCAAAGTTGAACCCCGCCAAATGGAACCAAGCACTAAAACGCGCGGTCCCCTGGTTGCTTAATTTTGAGCCATAACCTTTTCAAAGGCCAGGGGCCTCTTGCAACGGGCACAGCCATTCTTTGGAAGAAAAACAGCTGTTGGCAAGGAACATGCGAATTGCCAAGAGCAAAGCAATTCAACATTTTGATGTGAAATTGGACGCTGAAGGCCGCTCACGAGTACGTCGCGCATTCGGCTGGCGAAGCAATGCATGCCCTGTTGAATGCTATCTTCAGGCTTCATGAACGCAGCACGGGCTTCTGCAAAAGGGGCCAAATTTATTTCAAGTAGCTTCAGCTTGATGACGTCAGAGGCAGATTGCCAGCAAATCTTGAGCAAACATCATGGACAGCCGAGTAATGAAGTGCCTAGCAGTGGGCTCTGTCAGTTTCTGACACTTCGCCTCTAGTAACGAAATGTAACGAAGGGGCCCGAAACCCGAAACTCCCTGTCGCGAAGTCGCAAGGAGGCTGAGCTTTCCAGCAAGACCGCGCCTCCGAGGCGGCCCTCTGAAGGGGAGCGCCAGGGCTTGCGGGCCTCGAGCGGACAGAATCAGACTGGGCCAGCAGTTGCTGACAGTGGTGCATGTGTTGCCCTGCCAAGGCTGTGGTGCTTTCAACCCTTTCAAAGGCTTGGACTTGACCATGCGACAATTGAATAAGAACTGCTGAATCCAACATCAAATGAGTGAAGCTTGCCACCAACCAAACATAAGTCAAGGCACCAAGCCCGAAGCTGCAATATGCTGCCAGGCTTTTACCACTCTTTACTATTACACTGCCTCAATTCTCCTTCTCAGCTGGAAGAAAGCCGGCTTGCTAAGCTTGCAGAAGAAACCATTCCTTTCTGATGTCATAGCACCACACATCACAAGAACAAACGCGCACGTTTATAGAGCAAAAAAGGGAGCCTCGGATGCCAGATGGGTTCGTTGACTACTAGGCGCAGGGTATGTTGTGTAGTAGGCGCTGCAGGCGTTGCAGGCGCAGTTGCGGGAGTCGACAGTACACCAAATCAACATCCAATGGAGTCCGTCTGCTCCAAACGCACCGCGAAACCTGACATTGCATCCCGAGTGGCGCTTGGCATGGTGCTATTGCTGAGGCCTGGCACTCCAAAAGCAACCGGGGCAAAACGAGATCTTTGAGCTTGGCCTATGCCGCATCCTGATGCATCTGGGTCCTCTCGATGCTCAACGCGACCCAGCCAAAAGACATGATAGCCACCTTGAAAGGGATGATAACAAGGCACGGGAACATGGTAGCCCTTGTCTTCTTTGGCTGCCGTGTTGAAACCCCTCAGTGGCGAAAACGAGGACGCACATTGTTTGGCTACGCTTGGCAGGTGGCAGGAAAAGCTGCAATCAAGCCGCCAGGCCGAAAACGATTTACGGGCGTGCCGGGCAAAAATCAATCTTGGCCTCTTAAGACCCACAATCATAGCAGTATCTCACTGCTGATCTGCCCCTCTTCAGACCAGGCTCATTGACAGGTACTGCAGGTGGTTGCGATTTCTTTACGACATGTGGCACCGAACCTGCATCAAGCGAAGGATGTGAGCAACAGCCAGAAGGGAAAGCAGGAATTCATCACTGATCAGGCTACTCGCATAAGCAAACTTCTGAGACACAATCTCACCTCGCTGGCCAATCTTGAGTTGCAAGCGGGAAACAGCAGTTGGTTCACCGTCTGGCGGCTTTGTTTGCCACTCGTTCATATGTGAGGGAATCCACGGCAGCCCCCTGCCTGCGTAAAAGCGGCCGCTGTTTCTAGGCGAGGGCGAGGCCCGACCTGGCGACGAAGGCATCAACGGCAACCCCAAGACCTTTGAGGTCGCGAGCCTGGCGGAAACCCAAGCAGCAGGAATTGTTCATCACGAGTTTGTTTCATTACACAGCTTGCCCGAGGGAGGGAAAACAAAACAACAGAATGCGCTGGTCGGCTTCAGGTCTTTTGCTCGCAGCTGCCGAATATGGGCTGAGCTGGACATCATGTGCTAACACAAGCGACTTGGCTAAATCGAGCACGCATCCCATTCACAGCTCGCAGGGCTGAGACAACCAGTTTGACATCAGCCAACACGCTTTGCAGCGAAGCGTCTTGAAAACTTCGGCAGCGCCATTCCCTCCGCTGGCCTATCTGAAATCCAGGGGCTGGAGATTGCCAGCCTTCTGCCCTGACCAAAGCCGAAATCCGAACGCCGGGCAAGGCAACTATGTGCTTAAGAGTTAAGTTGCAGGCTAAAAAGTCAAAGCTTGAGCAAGGAACAATGATGAAATAAGCATGTTGGCGGCCTGGGCATAAAAAAAATCGTGCCATTGAACAAGAGGGTACTGGCTACTGGGGTGGACCTGAAAAAAGTCCAGAATGAGTCAAGCCACAATCCGTGTGCAGTGCAGTGCCGGAACTGCTGTAGTTCGACGCTTGGGCGATGCCATGTGCAGAGACACCAGCGGGCTAGACCCCCTATTGGTTGGTTCCATGGCGTGTCGAGAGCCAGGATTGTTCGCAGCTTGCTATGAACTTTTCTTCAGCCCTGACCCCCCGCCCTTCCCCCCCTCCCCCCCGCACCCCGAACCCTGCCGCCGCATTGGAGACTGTGGCATCTCGCCCCGAAAGTAGCCCGCACAGCCTGCGAGCATGCAATGCATGCACAGAAGAACGCCGGCGGGAGCGGTTGATCGATTTATCTGGAATATCATGGTTTGAGCAGGTGTTGAAACCAAAATTGTCTTCCACCTGTTCATTTCAGCTTTGTACAACATGTGAATCAAGAGAATTGCTTCCATGATGATCAGCGAATCCTTTCACCCTTGTGGACAAACAAAGCATGTGCACATCTTTCAAACCTACTTTTTAAGTGGGTTGATCATCCAAGTATCAACCCCAGGCCTTTTTGGGCTGGCAGGCAGGGGTGTATGCTCAGCTTCCGCTTGTGGCTTCAAAATCTCGGATGCTTCGGTACCTTTGCCAAAGCTTCCTGCAATAAGGAAGCAAGCGGGGGCCCATGGTCCGTGCACAGATTGGAATGACCGTAAGGCTACTCAACGGGCCCGCGCGCTGGTGGCCAACCCGCAAGCACCCAGCCCAGCCCAACTCTCGAGTGTGCGGTCCCACGAACACCCCCTTCCAGCGTGCCGCGGTCGCTTCTCCAGCCGCCAGAGGGAACCTGAAGCGTGGAGGCGCCATACGGCCCATTCCGACTCCGAAAAGTGCTCGCATGCGCAACATGTACAGGTCAACCCCCCACTTGTCGAGGCTGCATGTGGCAAATCTGTTGCTGTGAGAGGGCCAAAACATTGCGACGTCTTCCCTGTCACTCGACAAATGCCGCGCCGTCCATGCGGCAGTCGCAACTTTTAGGCCTCCAACTAGGCAGCCCTAACTCTGGAATTGGTAATGAGGCAAGTGACAAGTGGATACCTGGTCGGCGATCTTTGCCTTGAGCAAATTCAAGAGGCTGGGACTTGCCACCAATTGGCTGGCAATACATCAAGGGGCGAGGTGTTCTGGGTTAAATTTGGCACGGCTTGCGGAAGAATACCTCATGATGGCAGCCCATGCAAACAAATAGGGCACATGCAATATCACAGCTTTGCTTGGAAGACTCTTTCGCAAAATCCCTTCATCGAAAGCTGAGGCTCCCAACAATGGGCGGGGGTGGCACCTGACCGCGGCCTCGCCGGCTCAGACTCAAGACCACGTCTCAGCCAAACCGCTGCTCGCAGCATGGGGTCGTATGGGATGTCACTACAACAAACAACGCAAGTACCTTGGACATGTCAATGTGAACCTCATCACAGGTTGACACCCATACAATGGTGATGGCAGTTGTTAGATGACTGGCAGCGGCAACGAGCAGGAAAAAACTCAGGACTTTAATAGCCTCCTCCATCGCATAGGCAAAAACACCAACACCTTGTGCCCAAACGTCTCATCTGTGGCCTGTCGGCGTTGGGCTGACCGATCTGCACGGCAAGACCTCGGTACGAGCCAACCTCCGCTTGCGAACCTGACACGATTTGCGGTTGCAGGCGACTGAACTCTGAGGTGGCCAGTTGGGTCACTCCGGATGATTACCAACACACCAGGCTGGTTCAGGGAGCTTGGCACATCTTGGCACATCCACAAGAGTTGTGAGGCTTTCCATGTGGTATATAACTATGGCCATGGAAACACCTCCATGTCTGACGGCTCGGGGCCACAATGTGCACAACTCCCCATGCAACCCGTGGAAGGGCGCGAGAAGAAGATTCCTGCAAACGTGGCTTGTTGAGTCCGCACCTTCTGCAGAAAAAGCGGTCCGCATTTTCCCTCAGAACGCTCCAAAGGTGATGCCCGTGCACTGGCCCATCTGGCTCCCTTGGGGCCGCGCGGGAGCTGTGGCAGGGGTGCCCGGAGTGAGGTTCGCCTCAGCCCGAGACTTTCTGGGCAAAGGAGCGACCTTCCCAAAGGCCTCGGAAAGTGAAGGCTAGGGGCCCATCTCTGGAGCGTCCCAGAGGGGTGAGCCATGAATGGAATCTCGCCCCTAGCCCGCGACAGGTCCCTCCAGGCAACAAGCTGAGCGCGCCCAGGGCCCGCGCCGTGGCGCTCATGGCGGCGTTGGCCATGGCTTGGGCGGAGGAGAGATGCTTCGGCCTCGGGAAACCGAGGCGCGCGAGCGCCCGCCAGCGGATAGAACCGGGCAAGCCAACCTGCTGTGGATGGACGAAGTCCATTTCGCACCACCTACGAAACCCTGAAATGTCGATTCTCCTGTAAATACCAACCATCAATGGTTTGCCATGGTTTCCAAGTGGTGCAGGATTTCGTCCATCCACTGTATGGCATACGGGAAAAAAGAAGCAAAAGCAGGCACCACACCGAAGCCACCTTTCCCCCCAGGAGAGCGTTCATGTTGAGGCAATGCAGAAGGTTTCCAAACAAATGCATGCGCAGCGGCGTATGGCAGTGTTGGTGTTGGCCGCCGCCGTCCGATGCGAGCGTGTTGCGTACAGGCCCAAAAGCCAACCTTTGGCACTACTGCTCACAAGAGGTCCGTCTTCCAAATGCATAGGGCATCGATTTGGAAATAGCTGCTTGACTTTCGCTCCACACTTTAGTAGCTAAGTTCAGGTGTTGTGGGCAGTTGCTTGCTCCTTGGTTTACCATCTGGCAGACACCAAGCCTCTTCCCTGGCTCTCTATGGCCCTAGCAGGGCGGGCGCTGCTCTCTCCTGGCCCGCAACTCGCTAGTACGGCAGCGACTTGTGGTAGCAAGCCAGCAAATGATTCGTGAACGTCACGGAAATGCATGCACAACTTCAAAATAGGAGTGACTGAGATGCGTGGAACTGGCAGCAGCTATTCTCTCGAGGTTCCTCAGCGCCTCTCCATTCTTATCGATTCTGTTCTTCATGCATGTCCAACCAGAATTAGAACAAATCACAAGCCTCGATTCATGGGTGCCCGACCATCGACCAGCTGCAAGCTTTTCGAGAAGCGCCTGCATCGCTTGTGCCTGCGGCGCCTGCTGCGGCGAGGCGTGCGGTGGTGATGCCTGCTGCAGCTGCGGATTGAGTTGCGGCTGTGTCTGTGGCGTTGCAGGTTGCGGCTGTGGGGGCGTGTGCTGCCGCTGTATAAGCGTGGGCTGCGGTGGCTGCGCTGGTGCACGCTGCGGCCCCAGACTGCGCCGAGGCGAAGTTGCACTGACGTACCTCAGCATATCTCGGCAGTGCCAGCAAAAATGCTGCGCCGTAGCAGCAAGCATGGGCAAGAACATTGGAGGGAGCCAGGCTAAGACGTGGTCATTACGTTGTTTGTTCTGTTGCCTCAGAGGGCAGGAACTGGGCTTGACACAAGTCAGGGGCATCCTTCCACTGAATACATCCTGGCCCAAGCCAACCTATGGCTCTGTAACTCTGTAACTCATAACCAGCTGGTCCCAACCAAAATCACAACGCTCAAGCTTTACCACGTCTGGCCAAGTCACTGGACACGTTGCTGTGGAGACGCTTGCCTGTGGGCAGGTCAATGCTGCATTTGCTGTTGAAATAGCTGGTGCCAAGTTAGTTGAGTAGTTGAGGCAGAGGCCGACTCATCTCAAAATCAGAAAGGCCATCTATGTCTTCTACTGGCAACTGGGTTCAACCGCATTGCTGGGAGGGATGACTAGAGGAAGAAAAGGCCATGCCCAACAGGTTCAGCGGCCTCCAGGCCCAGCCACTCGGCGCAATCCTGGCAGGGCGTCTTCCTTTCCATCCAGGGCCATCCACAAGGAACCCGCTGAAAGGCCCCCTGAAAAGGAATTTGGGGGAAATCTACGGCAATTCGCGGTCCAATTGTCCAAGAATTGACGCCATCGCTGCCTCACAGGCCCTTGAACCCCAAGAGTGGCTTCCTGGCCCGGCCTCTGACTTTGACAGGGAAGCAGCACGGATGGCCTGGACCGCGGCATCCGCATATCGACACATCATGCCCAGCAGCAACCAACGGATTCAGCCCGACAAGCAGCCCCTGACTTGGTTGACATTGGAAGGGGAACAAACATTTAAATTTTAGAAGTTAAGTGAGGATTTCCCACTAAACCACAACAAGCAAAAATGTAAAATGTTTCCCAACAACAACCATGCTGACTCAAAAAGATGACTCCATAGGACCCATGAGTCTATGCTCATATCACCCCAGGGAGACACGCACGGCCCAGGCCACCCAACGCAGGGGTCAGGGATGCCGTCTGCACCGTCTGCGTCTGCGGCACCTGCACCTGCACGAGGGTCGGCATCCCCGAGTTGCAGCACGCACACACAAATCTATGTTGAGTTCTTGCCACCTCTGGAATTCCAAACTCTAGAAAGCAATATCTTGCAAAAAGTTGGCCACGCTGGACTTTCAAAGTATGCCAGCACATGCGAAGAAACACTGAGGGCGCCAACCCAGCACCTCATAATATGGAGGACACTTTGACTCGCGAGCATTCTTCACGGGCCCTGCTGACAAATGCCTGATTGCCCCTGACCTTAGTTGTCTGTCAGGGTGGTTCCAAAACGACGGAGGAGACCGTTCGAAGAAGGGATCCTCTGGAGCATTACTAGTCAACAGGAAAAATTGCAAATAGGGAGATGCGCAAGGATCAGCTAAAAGAGGACACGTCTTGCAGATGACAATGCCATCTTCTCGCCCAAGCTGCAAGCACCTGGGAATCTGCAAACATCATGCTTCAAGAGCGGGGCAGCCAACAAACTTTTCAAGGGATGAACATGGGCGTAAGCCGCATGTTCGCCGCTTGTGTGCAAATGCACCACGCCTTGCATTACAACCTTGTGAGATGTCAGGCGTCGCTTCCACGGCTGCCCCAAATCTCCCAGCCTCTGGGCGCGCCATGCCTCATGAAGCACGCTAGAGGCAGAAACAGGCCCGGCGGGTCCTCTGGGCCCGCGGCTGGGTTCCGCTTTGAACTCCTCCTGCAAGGCATTTGACGGCAGCGGAATGTTGAGCATGGAGGCTCCATTTTGACGACTGTAATCCCTCGCTCTGAGTGCGGGCGGTTTGCCTCACTTTGTTCCACGCTGCTCCTGGATCTGGTTTACCGCGGGCTGAGTGCTGGCCAAATCATCACCTCAGGAGCGTCTCTCCGAGTGAAATGACTGCGTAACTCAGAATCAGATAAGCAAATTACATGCTCTGAATACAATTTGCATGAGCCAAGCGGTGGTGCTGCCTGCGTAAAAGAACGATGTCGGAAGCCTATGCACCACCAGCAGGGCCTTTTTGGCAGAGTTGTGCACTTCAGCTTCAGCTCTGGATGTATCCCAATCTCAACGCTAGGTAAATGTACAGCCGTTCTGTCCGAAGCTGATGACCAGCCAGTGGCTCCCAGTCTGACTTGAATTGGTACTGCGCAAAACTTTGCACCCTCTCGGGTTGAAGAAGCAGGCCCCGGCCTGCAAGAGCTCTCCGCTCCTGCACACGCGGGCGTCGCCATGCCCGGCAGGGCTTTGCACCTTACGAATGCCCGAGGTGTTGTGCAAAGGGTGGGGGAAACAGTTAGCGTTAAAACTCACTCAGTCACTGACGCTGATACCGCATGCAAACGTCCATGCTTGCTTGCAGAATCCTGACAGCAGGGCCATTCAGGCAAAGGGTTTCCGGCAGCTGTCGCCTCATCTCAATCTGCTTGCGATATGCCGACGTCTACTCCAGCATTCAACCTTTGACGGTGCGAGCAATGAATTGTCGATTCTAGATGCTGCCTCACTGGTTTCCAGGTCCTGTTTGCGCAACAAGACAGAAACGGCACACATAGTGCGGGTGTAGCTTCTTTGTTTAAGCGCATACCTTTTTGGGGGCTTGTTTTGGAGGCAACCCCATAGACACCCCGACACTATCCGACACTCGCACTCCTCGCCCATCTTGAGCTCCAGCTCGAGGTCTGCGAGCTGCTGATTCAGCGCCTGGCCACAGGCATGGGACCGAAGCCGAGACGCCGAGCTTTGACACGTTCCAACCGGTCAGAACCGGTCCGAACACGAGTTGCCGTAGCTACCCCTCGAAAGGGAAGGGTCCATCTGAGATTGGCCAAGGATTGCCCCGCCCAGGATTGCGGGTTTAGCTTGCAAGATTGGCTCCAGGGATAAGGCATGTTAAACCCCGAACGGAGAAACTGCAGATAAACAAGACAGCAGAAGCAACACACCGGGGAGAGGGCCCACGTGCAAATTCAATTCGGCGACGACGCCGTACCAAAATGTCCTTTGGAAAATCCAGCCTTTGCGAGCTGCAAACTGGCAATTAATTACGCGTGGAAGGGCTCGCCTATAGGGCTCGCATGCCCCAGCAAAACCCAACGCAGGTCTTGGCCCTGCACAATACTTCGGACCGTGTTACGCCTTGTGATTCCTCACGTGCCTGCCTCCCGCCTTCAAGGCACATGGGTGTGTATTCTGTTGAAGTGGAGGGTACTTTGTTCTCTTCGGGTCTCGGGCTGTTTCAAAGAAAAACAAAACACTCCAAAACACTCAGCTCGGTGGCTTTTTGGGCGGATCCGCCCTTTGGGAGCCGGATGTTTCAGAGGGAAACACCCGGATTCGCCCAACGCGCCCAGGTCCCTCTCGCATCCGGCCGTCAGCGCCGGGTCCAGCTTCCCGGGCTTGGCCACCTTGGGGCCGCCTCCGAGCTGATCAATCCGAGAGGACCCCAAAACAAACCACGACCCAACGTTTCAACGGGCTGTACAAGTAGAGTTGGTGAGAGGACGGAAGCTTCAAAAAAGAAAGAAGCAACTTTTGGTCCGGAGGTGGTCCCTGGTGAATGCACATGCATGCCTGAACGCCTTGTTTTTGTGCCTTTCCCTACAGTGTGCGAGAGGTCAAGTTAGCGAGTTAGCTATGAACAGCATAGCTATTGCAAGACAACTGGCTAGGTGCCAGCTTGTGAGACAGTTGTCGATGTTAAACAACTAGCTGGCCAGCTAGGTTTGGATTGCAATTACATCGTCAGTTGGTTGGGCAAGCAGCTGGTTTGCGAGTAAGTTCGCCAGCTAGCTAGCTCGTTGGTGAGATAAGTTGCTTAGCCGGTCAGGTAGCTCGGAAGACAACACTAGTTCGCCAATCAGCTGCTTGGCCACTGAAACGCAAAATCCCGAGCGTTTAAAGGCCGAACCCACGAAAGTCTCAGGGTTCACGATGCAATGGGAAGGCAGGCCCCACCAACGTCTGCCATGAGCAAACTGAATCACAAACTACGAGTCTTCCGGGCGAACCCCGCGGAGGCATGCCAATGACTCCGTTTCCGCGCACGCTCCGCACCCGAGACCGCTTCTATGCATTTACAATATTAAATGGGCTCTGTGGCGGTTTGGCTGCAGCAGACCCCGAGGAGGACCGCCCGGTCCCCATTCTAACAACCTGCCATTCAAAATGATGCATACAACGTGGCGAAATCCGCTCCTTGACTATCAGGCATCAGGAAGTAGTCATGCGTATGTGGAGAGAGGTTCCCAGCTGCGGCAATCCCGGGCATTTGCGCTGCTCTGGAGCTTGGCTTGCGCATGTGAATTAGCGAGCAAATTGGTCGGCAAAAACCTGGTGGCACCTCTCTTGGTCAGTGCCCGCTTGAAACGTCCATGGTGAAGGAGCCCTGTCTGATGGCTAGTTGTAGTGTATTGGGCTTGTTGGTGTTTGTTTTGCTTTTTGTGTGGAACATCGGGCCACTTCGACCGGGTTTACCATGTCCACTCTCAAAACTCTGAAACACACAAGCTATGTCATGTGTTCAATGGTGACAGTAATAAGTGAAAGCAACCCCCCCTGGTCTTATCACATCTTCCTACAACACAACAGCATTACTCAAATCACAATAAATAAAGACAAGCAAAACGAAAAACATCCCCACACTCGCGAGTCCATAAGCCCCACACGCAGCACCAACACAAGCCAATTTGCGGGAAGGCTGACAAACACCTGCACACACTCCCGCCAAGGGCGGGATTTCGAAACATGCTGCCTTTTGCATGCCTTGCAAATTGGAAGCAGCAAGGTCGCCAACCTCAGCTATTCAGCTCAGATCAAAGCTGATTGACTAAAGAGATTGGAGTGCCCAACTTGACCCAGTTCAAGCCGCTGGCCTCCCGCTCGACCCTTGCCCTGCCTTCGGGCTGGTCCTGCAGCTCGAGCTCCAACTCCCCCAGGAGGCTCGTAAGCACCTGAAAAGGCTCGCTCGCACCAATGGTTGATGTTGGAAGGGGAGCAAAAACATATTCTGTAGCAGTCAAGTGGGGGTTTCCCAATAAAAGGAGAGCAAAGATCTATTCTTTAGCAGTTCAGTGGTTGGATTTCAACCACTAAGCCTCAATAAGCAAAAATGCAAAATGTGTCCCAACGACAACCATGCAAAGGCCGCGTGAAACTGTTTGCCCAGGGCAGGAAGGCTTAGGCTGGAAACGCCGGTGATTTCTCGCAGTCATTCGGGAATGAAGACGCTGCTTCAAGGCAGGAAACGAGAGATGAATCTAGCTAACACGCGAGAGGCATGAGGCAGCTGTCCCAGCGAAGGAACAGTCAAAAGAAGATCATGACACGCAAAAGCACTATGCATGCAACTGACTGGTCTACCAAGGTCATGTCGCCCTTCGGTGAATCCCAAGGGCAACCTGCAGTCAGCGGACCATCGTGGGCCCGCTCCTGGATTTCTATCGAAGTAGAAATGAGCGCAGAACAGAGAAAGGGCGACAAACCCAAAGGACCACCCGACCTTTCGTCGCGAGCCAAAACATCTTCAGCCCACATTGCTAGGACGCGCTAGAAAGGCACTCAAAGCACATTGTCAGCCAAACCACGCAATTACTTGGCGGGCTTGTTTGCGAGCAGGCTTGCTGGGGTGTTCTTGTGCAACAATCAGCTTTGGGGTGCACCTACCGGCTGGGCCAGCACGCATTCATGGCATCATCCAGCTTCTCGGCATCCACCTCGGCATCCGCATGCCTTCCAGGGGTAAGAGACGGGATGCCTTCGTCTGGACTGAACCCCCGGGGTCAGCCAATTAGCAACTATGATTTGACTTGTTGTCTTAACAGATCCAGAATTTCCCATTCAAATCTGACAGGTGCTGCTGCAGCATCTGCCAAGTCTCGGTGCTCATGAGGCCATTCGGCAGGTCCGCCGCAGCTCCCACTCTGACAGGACACTCGTGTTGATTCAGGGTTCCTTCATTCTGAGGGACCCAGGATAAGAGGTTTGAAAACGGCGCCTGATTGCTGGCTCTCACTAGTGCAGAGCATAGAGCCTGTGCAGGAACGTGCAGGTTCCATAATTGCTGTCCTGCAGACCTGCCACCTGCCTCTGTTGGAGAATGTCCATTTGGAGGGCACAGGTACTTTCGGCACAGGGGGACATTCCTCACCTGTGGCAGCTAAGCGCAAGACCATCTGTCCGCTCATGGCGCCTGGAATCACCTCATCCAAAAACACCACCGACGAGCGCTTCGATGAGCCATCCGCTTTCCGAGTCCCACAAACGAAATGTCCCGACCGGCAAGAATCAGTATCAAACTCCGGTGGGCCCACAAAGCCAAGCCGAGGCAAAACAAGCGCGCCTAGCTGCCAAAGAGTCCAAGCACCAAGCAACAAACAAATCAACAAATCAACAAATACAAATCAAGCACGTCAGGTGCAGGTAGGCCCCAACGACCCTGGCGACGGCCCCAAGGCCCCTTGGGGCCCCAAGGCCCGGGCCACGTCCCGAGTTGCCAGTGGCGACCATGCGAGGACAGGACCTCCCGTCATCCTTGCCGAGTGAACCACTCTGCACTCAAGCGCTTCCTCCCAAAAGCAACATGGATGAACAAGGGCCCCTGGCAAATCAGTGTCCCTCTGAATTGTCCAAGCTGCTAGTGTTTTTCGGGTCCATAAAGCTGGAAATCGGGAATTCCTGCCTGGAGCATAAAAACATATTAAAACTGAAAAGGTCGGAGTTCCAACACAAGGGCGTCTGCTCAGCTTGACCGTAGTCTGAAGCTGCTTCGCCAAGGTTGTCTTTCGTTTGCGCAGGATATTGGCCGGTAAGCGAGGCAGACAAGCGCAATCTAGCGGCTAAAAGAAGTCGGAGAAAGCTAAAGCAGCTGTCCGGAAAACGCTTGGCATTTCTAACCCCAGCCACGCGTCAAACAATTTTCATGGATTGCGCATTGCACAATGCAGCACGTGCGTCCTCCTGAGTCTTGGGGGTGCGTGATTGAAGATCAGTGCCCAAGTCAAACACAAGCTGGGAGCCACATGCTTTGACTCTTGCAGAATGGCTATATATATATCATCAGCAAGCATGTACTTCCTGCACCCAGCAGCACAACGGCATCCTTGAAGCTTCTGATCGCTTTCCGTACATTCATACTTGACTCGTTGTTCTTCTTGCGTGCCATCAGTCCATTAGCATGACACCGTTTAAGAAAACATCTATTCTATATAGAGAAAGATATATTATGTGTGCATATCTAGGTGGTTTCTCCTGCTCCTTCGCACTCCAGACCCCGTGCCGGAACCCTTGAGATTGCGAACCGACACGTCGTCTCCCAAGGCTGTGGGGCGCTATGACATAGGCCACCTGCCACAGGCCCGGCGCTAACATGCAGAACACTGCAGGTAGACAAACCCTTCCGAGCTGTTGCCTGCGGGAAGAGGCTTGAACCCTAGTCTTCTCTTGCTGGCCAGAGTTTGTGCTCGAAGGGACTGCCTGCGCGCCTCTGGTTCGCGGGTGGCGTTGGCTAATCTAAACACTCTGTTTCGAACCGGTGGCCGCGGGCACATTTAGGTCGCGCATCACGGTGACTTCAATTGATGTGGCGCACTTGGTTCACAATCGTTTGCGTTTATCATCTCACTTTGAGCCGATCAAGGAGCTCACGCTCAGATTCCAAGGGGGGGTCATCTTTCAACATCTTTCTGATAAAAACGCACAAACGGGGACTGATGCAAACAGACAAGGCCCGCAAAGGCGCGGGAGGGCAAAAGCCAACCTGGAGGGGGGAAGCGGAGCCAGCAAACAGCCCACGTGCCTTTCTGAAAGTCAACCCTAGATATCCCTAGATGCGGCCAGACAGGGGCCAACAGGGGCCAGTTGTGGCTCGAAAAGAAAGGACACCAACTCCTGCCAGCGCCCCTCCCAGCGTCCCAGTACTCCTGGCAACCTGAACGCTTCCATCGAGCCCCGCTACAGACTCCGCACCGTCTGGCGCGCTTTCGCTTTTGAGACCCGCGGTTCGCCGCGACGAGCGGGTGCACGCCGAAGAACTGGGCCAAAGGCCCTGGTGGCCGTGCCATCGGGTCCGTGGCTTGCCGCGCAAGTCGATGCCGCTGGGTTCCAAGAAATGAGTCGAATCGCTTCGAATGCTTCAGACGGGCAGAACTTCTCACAACTAAATGCCTGCTGTCCTCTGATTAGACGTGGGTTTGGGCGCCAGGGCACCTTCTAGATGGAACCCCGAAATGTTGCAGTTATACATATCAAAAAGCAAACATGCTAGCTTCGCCAGCCAGTGCGCATAGCTCAGAAGCCCTCTGCCAGCTGGACCTTCTCGAACTGCTTCCTTGGATGACTGGCACCGTGCCTTTTCCGGGGTGGAAGGCTGCAAGAGCTTGATGCCCAACCGCGACACGACACTGTGCGAAAATGTGCGCTAACGACAGCAGGCATGGCTTCTGTTCTCACACGGCTGCACTTGCCGCAGATTTGTTTCTCGGCAAATTGCATGAATGGCCCGCAACCAAAGCGTGATACCTTGCTCAGCCAAGCAGCTTCTTCAGGACGAAGCTGAGCTGAGCGACGAAGCACGAGAAGGCAAACGCGCAGAAGGCGTAGACACGGTTCATGTCTTGCAGGATGCACTCCTTCTCCTCCTGGCACCGTCAAAAGTACACGAGCTCATTACGCAAGAAGCGGGTCCCCGTCAGTTCTTCGAGGCATTTATTGGCCAATGTGGCTTTGCTGCAAGTTGAAGCCAACTAATTAAGCAAAACAACGGTAGGACCAGCCCTGAACGCCTTCAAAGTGAGACCCCACCGGAAGCCTCACTCAGGGGGTCGCCGTCTTTGCTATCTACCGCTTTGCGCGGGAGTCTTCATGCCCTTCCCTGGCATCCGCACGCGGCATTTGTTCAGCCACCAAACTCCATCCGAGGCGAGCAGCCGTGCCTGACCAAAGCCGCCCACATTGGGGTTGGTGGTGATGGGCTCGTCCTTGTCAACCTCGTCCCCCACCTGATGGAGATGGCACGGAGATGATCATAACAAACTGGGAGCGGCCTACGTGAAAGAAATCACGGACGTGAACAGAAATGCTGTACGGGAGTCATTGCAACTACACAAACCAAAAGGAATTGCCGACACTGATGACAACTCAAACTGTGCATGACTGAAGGGAGGGTGCGAATCTACCAAAGCGCAACCGCGCGCACTGGAAAGTGTCTTGTAACATACACCCAGACCAGGCAACTGTGCTGGCGGCTTGTGCAACAGCTCCGGAGTTACACCACGTGAGAAACAAAGCTATTCCCGTAGTGTAAAGAACCACATTCGGCTACCATCCCGTAGTGTAAAGAACCACATTCGGCTACCAAGTGGCCTGCCTAAGGTGCTTGAATTCTGATGGTCGGCGCTTGGCCAAATGAACCTCAACACGTCCAAGATGCCGAAGTGGCTTGTTTTGAATCACACTCCGTGAGCAGCCTTGGAGAAGGGATGCATGTTGAATGCCTAACACAAAGCTCGCCCACGCGAGAGGGACTCCAAAGATCCTTCATCAACTTTGCTCAGGTGGATGGGGTAAGCACCCTGCCTGCACCACGATGTCAGCCCCCGTCAGCAGCTCCTGAGTCTTGACCTCCCCCGAGGGTGTGGTGATTGACACCTGCCCAAGGGCAAAGCCAAAAACGGAAACACAAAAAGCCCCCTACTTGCCCATCTGTCGCAACATCCACCTAGTTCGGATCTGAACAATTTGCGCATGAGCTCCCAGGTTCGTCCCAGAAATCCAGCTGCGATGCACAGAACTTCACGCGCGGAAGATCCGTGCCATGGCCCGCCTTGAGGCCATCGATGGCCGTGACGGTGCCCGTGGCCGCCGCGAAGAACTGGTTGTTGTTGCTCTGGTTGCCCTCCGGGTACACCTGGAGTCATGGAGGCAAAGTCCGGCCAACACGCTGCGAGGAAAAGCACCTTCAAAATACTGCCCCCGGGCAAACATGACAAGAGAACAGACCCCTGTATTTGCGGCATTTAGGGGGTGGGGGTTGGAATAGCCATTCCACTGCAAAGAGTTGGAAATGAGGGTGACTACGTGGGCAACTCCCTACAAATGCTCCCTGAATTCGAGGCGTTTAACAACCGAGTAGTCGCAACAAAATGCTTTGACCTGATTGTTGTAGTTTGAAGCTAGGTCGCCCTCAATTCCAAAATAGAAGTCATTGTGTGGGCGCCGTTGGCTTTGAGCACCAAACTTCCAAATGGCCTCCCATCCAGTAGGAAGGCACTAAATATGCTAACCCCTGTTGCATCCTTACAGCCTGCAAAATGCCGAACCAGCACACCCCCTCAGGCGTGACCCCCTATTCACCATCTGTAGGTCAACCTCACCCACAGAGAAACTCACAGAGGGATGACAACGGGCTATCCATGTGGAAGCATACCGTAACGTGCCTGGCCACGACCGCGGTTTCCGCCAAAGTAGAAGATCCCCTTGCCGAATATCACCTTATCCTGGGTGCAAGCCGCCAGCCAATCGGAATCACGGAATGCAGGTCCAATGCAAATTGTTCGTGGAAGCCAAAGTCCAAAATAGCCAAGCCATCTGGATGACGCTGGCCGCCATTATGAAAGCAAAACATGACGCCCCACATCTGTGACAATGACAAAGCAAATCTGCAATGCTACATGACGTGCCAATCAAAGACTTTTGCCAGTAGACACATAGACACGGGCTGCTAAAATCTAGATGGTGATTTGTCGTTCCGTCTCTATCATTGGCTCAAGCGTCGTTGGTGTTGGGGTCCGGGGACAGGACTGGGAGCACCATCTTCTCGTAGGTCTCTCCTGAAACCAGATTGCAGGCCAGGGGCAGTTGCCTTCGCACAAGCCAATAAAAGCAAACCAGGCCATTGCACGAGCAAGACTTCAATATGAAGATGGTCTCGTTCCCATGTTCGCATGCCAGGAACAGAGCAGCCAGAGCAACCGTTGCGTTGCCTGCGTGGATCCTGCTCAACGTGCTGGGGCGGATAGGGCGGATAGGTCTTACCCGACACCAGGTTTCAGGACGAAACCCGATCAGCACATACCATTTGAAGAGGTTCCCAGTTTCGACACAACAACGGCACTCAAAATCTCCCCAGCCCTCAAACCCTGCAAAACCCAGAGCCAATTCTTCGACTTAACTAATCCCTGGTAAATCCGTCCTGGCACCGGTCCGGCCACCACGATGTTCGGATAGTCCTTGCGGGACACTCGCACGGTTTCCTGTCCCCTTCGGAAACTGTCGGGACATGTGCTGATAGCGGAACCTGGTACCTAACATGTTGAAAGTCCGACAATGCCTCAAAATAAGCCATGCGGGGCCTCCCATGTATTTTGTTCCACGCCTTTTGGATCCTGAAGGTGCCAACATGGGAAACAAGCAATGTTCATGTCGCTCCTTGCTGTAAGGAGCCCAGGCCAAGCCCTTCATCTCCTTCTTCAGGACCTTGGGCAGCCGATCCTTGGGAGCCAGCTTCCAGCCATCAGGCATCACAGCGATGGCGCCGATGTTCATGGGACCCTTGGAGCCGTCAGCGTTCGGCTGGCGACGCTTGGCGTACTTGGCGGGGACCTCCACCTCCATCTTGAAGATGGTGTCAGGGAGCACCGCCTGAGGCAGCCTCACCTCGAGAGGCTTGGACGCCAGGTGGCAGTTGGCGCACACAATCTTGCCCGTGTACTCGCGGGGGTTCGCGTAGTTCTGCTGGGCGAAGATGGGGTAGGCCACCGCTACCTCCATGGAGCTGGTGAAGACCATTGCCGCCGAAGCGCCTGCCAGTGCCTGCTTGGCAAAGGCCTGGATGTCCTGCACGTGCTGATCCGTCTCCTCAACTGTGGGCGCGTCGGCGCCGTTCAGCTGAGCGCGGCATGCCACCAGGTTGTCACGATAGTAGGACCTGGAAGCATTCTGATTTGGCTCAAAATGTCTGAAGGCCAAAGCAATGATATCCACCACTGTCAGCACAAAAGCTAAACTCGGTCCAGTCCCCCCAACTTTGATGCCTGTGCCCCTCGTACGGTCTCCATGGTGAGCCTACCCAATGAGGTGCGAGGCTTCCCGCTGGCCAACGCACTCGTGCGACCAGGCGACTCGACAGTGACGTTCGTCACCGCCACGGCGCCCTTCGTCTTGCGCTCCCGGCGGTGGGCGCGACGGTGAGCAGCGGCTGCCACAGCACCCGCAGCCACCAGGGCAGATCCTGAGGGACATGGCGGCGTGCAACATTGTCAAAAACATCAGTCTGCATGTGTTTGACCCAACGCCTAAGATTCAACCTTCTGAAATCACGCAGCCACGGCAAACTTCCTGGAATCGTTATGCCCAGTGGCCCTTACACAGCAGGTGTGCGTAGCTGACTGCTGGAACTCCAACGCCAACTAAACCCGTGAACTTGGTACATCTTGATACCGTTTTTGCAAAAGCTCTTTTCGTGTTGCGCCCACCGCGCCTGCCCCAGCGCCTGCATATCCCTGGCCTGGCTGGCTGGACCTGGGGATTTCTGCGGTTAGCGGCGCCAGGGTGGCGGGGCTGGCCACGGTGAAGGCGGGAGCGAGAGCCATGGCAGGAAAGTCAGGGAGGAGCTGGCACCGGCACGCGCTCAAGCCAAACGACGACTTCTCACATGGCGGCACGCCAGGCTCTGTCAAGACTCCTAGTTTCCATCCTTGCAAATACTTTGGGTCCACACTTGGGAACATTCGGAGAAAAACCAGCAGATCCCTGAGAAACGCCTTCGGCATCTTAAAATGGCTTCGCCGCTGCAATGTAAGCAGGATTCAGTATGCTTTATGAATGACGGCAACGAGCCATTAGCGCGCAGGCTGGGATGTGATTACGCACTCCCCTCCCCCCAATCTAGGCAGGGATAGGCCTTTTCTGGCCAATGAGTCTGGGCAACACTATGTTAGAATGGGGCAATTCTACTGTAGAATTGCGCAAAAGTATCTTGAATCGAGCAGATCCAAATTTGAACAGCGCAGCACTTAAACTGGACAGTACTACACTTGAATTGGGCAAAGCTAGATTGAAACTTTAGTATACTTGAACTATATACATGGAGAGATGCAACGAGACAGCTAGTGAAAATTTGCAACTGCGCATGTAACCAAGTATAACTGGCACTGGGGCGGGGGGGGAGTTTCACAACTGTACAGCAAGAAGTATGGTGTTTAGTTTTCAATGCGCTTCTTGCTCCTCTGTCCTGTTCCCTCTCTCTCTCTCTGTCTTTTCCATGTCCCTCTCTCTTCTCTTTTTCTGTCTCTGTCCTTTGCTCTTTCTCTTTCCCTATCCCTTTCGCGTCCTCTTTCTCTGCCTCTTCTTCTTTCTCTTTTCCTCGCTCTCTCTGTCTCTCTCTCTGTCTCTCTCTCTCGCTCTCTCCCTCGCTCTCTCTTTTCACCCCGCAAAAGCGAAAACAAGCCACTAGTTTTTGATGGTCGGCCCTGGCCATTCAGCCGAGGGTCCCGCCAGCGAAGCGAAATAATCACCCGAAAACTCCACTAGTTCCTCCAGTACAGAGGTTAGAATAAGGGCACGCGATTTTTTTTCTGTAGTCTACTTTAGTAGGGGAACCTAGTCAATCAGTTTTTGCAGGTCGACATCGCCGAGGGTTCGCCACGTTTCTCGTTGCGAAGCGCTGCGCGCGGCCGTGCCAATGGGCCCGGTCTCCGGGACCGTTCCAAGACCACCCTTCCGAACGCGCTCCGTGAGCGCTTCCGTGTTCGGTTCTGTTCCACGGCTTTTTGGTAGTTGTGTCGAAGCTTTTTCATGCGCAGTGAAAATATTCTAAAGGTATGCACGCTTATACTAGCTCCAACACTACTCAAGTTCTTGTTGATCTTTGATGTTGTTTGCAGCTCTATGCACGTAACCCTCGAACAAATTATCGAAATGCAAATTCCGAGCAGTTTGCCCCGCTTGGCATTCTGTCCGAGAGGCACCTTTTTTCCACTGGAGAAATGCCTGGACCAGGCCTTGGCCCATCACTAGATGGCCACAGCCACGGCCACCTCTCAATTCCTAGGTCCAGATCCCCGAATCAATCGTCTAGTTGAAAATATAATTTATATCACGCTGTTCTCCCCGTCTCACTCTCTGACTGCCTCACTGCCCTCTCCAGGAATGCGAGCATGGAGGGAGGACAGCTACCGTTTGACCATGCTCAGAAGCCCTCAGCCAGCTGGACCTTCTCGAACTGCTTCCTCAGCAGCTGCAGCCATGCGAAGCGACGTTTCCCCTCGCCCCAAATTAGCTAAGAATGCGCTTGCAATCCTTGCAGAGCCTGCACAGGGCCGACACAGAGCCAACTTCACCTGGCATGACCTACCCAGTTGGCGTCAAAGGCTCTTCTTCAGCACAAAGCTGAGCTGGGCGACGAAGCACGAGAAAGCGAAGGCACAGAATGCATAGACCCGGTTCATATCTTGCAGGATGCACTCCTTCTCCTCCTGCATGCTTGCATGATGCTACCAAGGTACGCAAGCCCGCGATTTCGCTCGACTGAAAACTGCCTCTACAGGAAGTCTCCTGACCAAAGCCGCCCACATTGGGGTTGGTGGTGATGGGCTCATCCTTGTCCACCTCGTCGCCAACCTGCAATGACAAGGACATCAAGCACGGCTCACATACCTCTGGGATGCCCACCCCTTCTCACCGCAATCCCCAAATCCATCAAGTGCAAAATGCTGCCTCACAATCCCTTTTCAAGCCACGACCCTTCTTGGCTTTGCATTCCCGCACCCAGGGAAAAACGCAGGGAACCTGCTCAAGGCCAGCCTGCACCACGATGTCAGCACCAGTCAGCAGCTCCTGAGTCTTGACCTCCCCGGAGGGTGTGGTGATTGTCACCTGAGCCAAATTATCAAATGACAGGCTTGCGCGAAATTCCGTGGGAACCTTGCGAGTGATGCCTGTGCCTGGCAATGGAAAAATGCTTAAGAGCGCACGGCCGCTCGCCTTGAGGCCATCGATGGCTGTGACGGTGCCCGTGGCCGCAGCGAAGAACTGGTTGTTGTTGCTCTGGTTGCCCTCCGGGTACACCTGCAACAGACATGCCCGAGAAGAGATTGACCTAGGCTCCTCCTTTGGGCAATTGAATCGCATAGGAGATTGCTCGGCGCAACTTTTTCGGCCAGCATGCGCTTCAAGTGCAAGACATTGGGTTTCTGGCGGAATTAAAGATTCCTTGGAGCCTAACAGGCTCCCTCAGCAAGATTGGCTCTGAACAAAATATTCCAAGTTCATGTTCGCATGTCCGAAACCTGGCAGGCAACGTGATGCCTTGGATCACACCGGTCCCGCATGGTCCTGCCATGCCAAACGCCGGCTGCGCCTGTCCACGTCCGCGGTTGCCACCGAAGTAGAAGATGCCCTTGCCGAAAATGACTTTGTCCTTGGGTGAAGGTGCAAATGACAACAACGTGAGGCCCAACCAGCTGGACAACACAGCCGCTGGACATCGTTCGGCCATGTCAGCATAGGTGCTGCCGAAGTGGCATTGGTGTTGGGATCAGGCGAAAGCACTGGGAGCACCATCTTCTCATATGTCTCACCTTGCGAACTGATCCTCTTGCTTGCTGGCTGGCTGGCTGGCTGGCTGGCTGGCTGGCTTGCTTGCTGGCTGGCTGGCTGGCTTGCTTGCTTGCTGGCTGCTACCACCAAAGGAAGATCAGCGTGCTGGCCAGGCAAAAGGGCGGGCATTCCTAGCCAAGGCCTCTCCTAAGTCAATCCTGGGCCTTTGCAGCAGCTGTCCCTGTTCGAGAGTGCAGCAGCGCCGACTCGAAAGCCGCAACGGTGCCTCACGGACCCCCCTGCCTGGCACAGGGCCCGCCACCACGATGTTGGGGTAATCCTGGCCACGAAGTTGCTCATGTTGCTACGATAGCAACCCTCTCGAGCAAACGTCAAATGAATGAGTGCAGTCTCTATTTCGTGGCTCGTGATGTCGCACAGAGTGGCGACCATGTTTCCCAAGCGAACCGATATTCAGCTTCCCTTTTATTGGCGGTTTGATTGTTGAGGATAGCTTCCCATTTGCCCTCTCCAAGAACCAGAGGTTCAAATCCCGAGCCGCCAATCGAAACCACCAGTCAAGGGTTGACAGAATTGCGGACGTTGCGCGAACACACACACCCACACCCACACACAGATTGGACTCGTCCGATCTGATGTTCATTCAAAACAAATGCAAACAAATGGCAGCTCGGGCTTCTTGAAGATCTCAGGAAAGAGGCCAAAAACATGTACCGCAATAGCAACAAAGAGAACTTGAGCAAAAGAAGGGTAAATCAAGTCTGTCAAACACATCAATGATCAGATTCAAATCTGTGCATTCATAACATTCAATACATCTTGCAGGCTACAGTCTTATAGCATGCATCCTCGACCTTCCCTGCATCTTGTCGCAGCACGCTGTGCTCGCCTCCCTCCCTCCCTCGCTGTCTCTCTCTCTCTCACTTTCTCTCTGTCACTCGCTCGCTCCATGCCAAGTGCTTCAAGTGCCTCCCTCACTCAGCTAGTCATCAACATCTCTCAGCCTCCAACCCCTTGAAGGGTGACGGCCCGTTTTTTGGTTAAGGCCAAACACTTGACCTAGTGCTTTTCAACCAAGGGTAGGCTAGTGCTTCCAGAAACAGCAGATCATGTGGCCTACGCCACCCCAGGACAATGAGCCACACTTCAGCCCCAAAATGAAGAATACAACACGCCGGCACATCTACATCAGCACACAGAAACAAATGGAGACAAGCGGCGACACAGGCACTTATCCACAACACTATTCCCCCAAGCATGGACATGCATTTTCACAGTGCAGCCACGCCTTGCTGTAAGGAGCCCAGGCCAAGCCCTTCATCTCCTTCTTCAGGACCTTGGGCAGCCGATCCTTGGGAGCCAGCTTCCAGCCATCAGGCATCACAGCGATGGCTCCGATGTTCATGGGACCCTTGGAGCCGTCAGCGTTCGGCTGGCGACGCTTTGCATACTTGGCGGGGACCTCCACCTCCATCTTGAAGATGGTGTCAGGGAGCACCGCCTGAGGCAGCCTCACCTCGAGAGGCTTGGACGCCAGGTGGCAGTTGGCGCAAACAATCTTGCCCGTGTACTCGCGGGGGTTCGCGTAGTTCTGCTGGGCGAAGATGGGGTAGGCCACTGCTACCTCCATGGAGCTGGTGAAGACCATTGCCGCCGAAGCACCTGCCAGTGCCTGCTTGGCAAAGGCCTGGATGTCCTGCACGTGCTGATCCGTCTCCTCAACCGTGGGCGCGTCGGCGCCGTTCAGCTGAGCGCGGCATGCCACCAAGTTGTCACGATAGTAGGACCTGGGTGGTTGCCCATCTCACGTACATTCCAAACTGCCCTTCCTGCCAAGCCGCTCTCCCCTGCTGCCCTGGACGGTACCTCGCGCCATGCGCTCTCTGCGGTGACGCCGCGCCGCGCCGGCCAGCACAGCCGCAGTGGCGCCCGCAGCGGCCAGGCCGGTGCCTGCACAAAGCAAGGAAGCAATGCCGCAAATCCAATCAAAAGACCATGCTGTGGGATGACCCGTAAGCATCAACTTGAAAATGTTTTCTTTTATTCAGTGCCTGTTGATCTGATTAACAACGCTTGGTGAGCCACTTCCGTGTAATCTGCTAGAACCTAAGAACACAAACAAAGCTATGTCTGCCTGTGATCACAGTGGCCATCTCCTTAGACAAGACGTGACTTTATGATTACCGTGTGACATGGAAGCCACGCGCTGTCGATTGCGACAGGAACATAGGCCAGCCCGGACCAGCCTACTTGATGCAGAGTGGCGAACTGACGTGGAAAGATGATGAAGGTGCAATGATGTTGTACAAACACTAGGTTGTCGGGGTTGCTGCTAGCAGCTGTGAACGATGACCTCGGCCTCAAAACGCTCAAAAAATTGCGGCAGCTGGCTAGGGCAACAAAAACGCTGGTAAATGTTGCAGCCCTTGTTGCTCGACACCCCCAAATCAACTGAAACCTAGCCTGACATGCCACCCAAGCCTTGGCAAACAGAGTCCCGCTCCCGGGTTAGCACCCCCAATCGCTTCGGATCCGATTCGCCTGAGTGGGATCCTTGGGATCCGCGAGATCCGGAGACGACCTGCCCGGCATGGCGCCCACACGGGAGCTCGGGCGCCGGCGCGCTCAGCACGAAGGCGGGCGCCAAGGCCATGGCGTGGGAATGGGGCCGGGGCGAGTGCGGGCGCTGGGGCACAGCGCAGCTTGACGCAAACGTGTCGGCAAAAAGGGAGAGATCGGACAGAAGAGTTGAGAACAAGCAGGAAGGCAGGAAGCGCAAGGAGAGAAGCTAGGAGAAAGACAATAAGCGGATAAAATGGATGAAAATGGTGGAAAATAGGGAGAAAAGGAGCAAGGAAACGAGTGAGAGAAGAGCTAAGAGGGTGGAGGAGAGAGGGGAGATGAGCGAAGAATGGGCAGAGAGGAAAGTGGGGAGAAGAGCGGGCCAGAGCAGAGAGCGTAGAGACGCGAGTGGGTGAAACAACAAAAGGAGACATGTGGAGAGCAGCGCACGGAGTAGGAGGAAGAGAGCAGCAATAGAAATTAGCAGGAAGGAGCACGAAGAAGAGGGAGACCAGAAGGGAAGCGGACACGAGTGGAGAGAAGAGAGGAGCCGAACAAAGCTTTCGGTGACTTGGCCAAGTGATCAAGTAAGTTAGCTCGAAGCCGTCCTAAGTTACTAGGCAGTCCCGTTTCATGCGGCACTTGAAGGGAAGGCTTCGTGGCATCAACTGGTGTAACTTCATGTGTCCCCGTCATGGATGCCGTGGCAAGCTTGCCCAAAGCACTGACAACCTGCAGATTTGTTCGCCGCATCGCTCGCCGCTGGCCACAGCAGCTGGAAAAAATCCTGGCGAAGGCCAACTGCCGGGCATCAAAAAGCCATGGAATGAGTCAAGAGGGCGAACGAAAAAGTAGACTGGCAGGAGAAACGCATGATGCGAAGCAAGGCGAGGGAACATCTGTCCGCCAGTCTGTCAGATAAGGGCTTGCTCAGAAGCCCTCTGCCAGCTGGACCTTCTCGAACTGCTTCCTCAATTTTCACATCAGTCAGCTTCGATAAGGTTGCTTGCAATAGAGCTGCCTGCCTGTGCATTTCGTGGGGATGACTGACTTCCAACTCCAACACAAAGGCCATCGCACCAAGGCAATAAACAGGTGCCAGGTCGGAGCTAGCCAGGCGGCTTCTTCAGGACAAAGCTGAGCTGAGCAACGAAGCACGAGAAGGCAAACGCGCAGAAGGCATAGACACGGTTCATGTCTTGCAGGATGCACTCCTTCTCCTCCTGCGATGAAACCAAAAAACAAACACGAGCACTAGGTGGACGTCATGCACTCCCTCAGGCCACGTCAAAAGCATCGCGGCTGAGCCAAAGAGCATGTGCAAAGCCACTTTTTCAGGGGCAGTCACCTCCAACCCCCCTCCAACCCGCTCTTCCCCTTGCTTGAGATAATTAGGCTTTGAAGTTGCACGCATCCGTCTATGAGCGCGTGGCCGGCGCCTGCCCGAAGCCGCCCACGTTTGGGTTGGTGGTGATGGGCTCGTCCTTGTCAACCTCGTCTCCAACCTGCACAGGGCAGCCGAAAACTTTGCCGTACAAATAGCTGCCCCCCCCCCCCACACTCCCCAAAGTGCCAACGCACCTAGTGCCTGTGGCTAAGTGCGCACGGATCTCCTAAACACCGAACTTTGCAAACCAAGACCTTGAATGTATCTCGCCATGGCAAATATGGCGCACCCATCCTAGCAAATGCTGCTGAACTCGTGTTGGCCTATTGGCTTTCGACTGCTATTGCAAAGTGCGGCCAGCGCTGAAGCGGTGCAAATTGAGTGGCCAGAGTGAATAGGCAACGCCTGTCGATGAACGGCTCGACGCATTCCCGCAAACCTCACGGAAATATCAGCCATAGATTCAGCGCCAGTCTAAACCTCATGCAATCCCCATCATTTTAGTACCGAGCAGGTCGTCAGGCCACAATGGCGTCTCAATTCCCCCCCCCCCCTCTCACAATCGACGCGCAAGATTGCTCTCATCTTTCGGGTTGCCTGCACCACGATGTCAGCACCCGTCAGACACTCCTGAGTCTTCACTTCTCCGGAGGGCGTCGTGATGCTCACCTGCCGGAACATGCGAACAGCGCGCCTGTTGAGTGCCAAAACCCATGCGGTTGTGCGACGTTCTTGTAGAGCCTCCTTGTGGGATTTTCCTAGTGGCTGGTCGGTGGATTTTTTAGAATATAGGCAGCTGGCCCCCATGGTTTGCATGCGGGGGGGCTGCCTTCTCATTCCCCGGGTGGACCCTAGGCCAACCACCATTAACAGGTCTTCCAAACAGGGAGTTTGTCAGTCCAGGGGGCAACCCAAATCATACTGTGGATGGACAAAATTCTGCACCACTTTGAAACCATGGGAAACCATTGTTTGTTGGTATTTACAGTGGAACCATCATTCCAGGGGTTCTTAGGTGGTGCGGGATTTCGTCCATCCACAGTAGGAAGTCTCGCCTTGAGGCCATCGATGGCCGTAACGGTGCCAGTGGCTGCGGCGAAGAACTGGTTGTTGTTGCTCTGGTTGCCCTCGGGGTAGACCTGCGAATCGCGGGGCACGGTGCGAATCGACATCAAAGCCGTTACAATGGAAGGCCGGAGCGATGCACGTTGCAAAGAGCAAAGGCTCAGAATGTGCCTGCCCGCGGCCGCGATTGCCTCCGAAGTAGAAGATTCCCTTGCCAAAGATGACCTTGTCCTGATCATAATGCCGATGCCCACGCTGATCCGCTTATGAAGCACACTACGAGGGTTGGACCGGGGCAATTCAACTGTCTAGTCAGGGAGCCCAAAGCGGAGATGATCAAGCCCAGAGCCGAGGTGTTGCCTTGTCAGCAGCTTCATGGGCTAGGCTGACCAATCGGCTAATTGACTTCATCAAAAAGGGGCCCTCGCCATCAAAACGCGAAACAGGGCTTCGACCATTTCTGGAGGCTCTGGCATTACAAAGAGAGTCTTTACTATTCTGGAAACGCCGGAAAGCCTTTGAGCCATGGGAGTTGCGTGACTGGCCAAGCGTCGTTGGTGTTAGGATCCGGCGAGAGGACAGGGAGCACCATCTTCTCATAGGTCTCACCTGGCGGGGGAGTCACAGCTGGCTGCAATCGGACACGTGGCCGTGGCCTGGAACCGGGCCAGCAACCACGATGTTCGGGTAGTCCTGTCAGGCATGGCAAAGGCAGCAAACACCAACCGAGGAGCCCGCGCACTGCCCTTGTGAGTCACAAACCAGTGTTCATGTCGCTCCTTGCTGTAAGGAGCCCAGGCCAAGCCCTTCATCTCCTTCTTCAGGACCTTGGGCAGCCGATCCTTGGGAGCCAGCTTCCAGCCATCAGGCATCACAGCGATGGCGCCGATGTTCATGGGACCCTTGGAGCCGTCAGCGTTCGGCTGGCGACGCTTGGCGTACTTGGCGGGGACCTCCACCTCCATCTTGAAGATGGTATCAGGGAGCACCGCCTGAGGCAGCCTCACCTCGAGAGGCTTGGACGCCAGGTGGCAGTTGGCGCAAACAATCTTGCCCGTGTACTCACGGGGGTTCGCGTAGTTCTGCTGGGCAAAGATCGGGTAGGCCACTGCTACCTCCATGGAGCTGGTGAAGACCATTGCCGCCGAAGCACCTGCCAGTGCCTGCTTGGCAAAGGCCTGGATGTCCTGCACGTGCTGATCCGTCTCCTCAACCGTGGGCGCGTCGGCGCCGTTCAGCTGAGCGCGGCATGCCACCAAGTTGTCACGGTAGTAGGACCTGGGCACAAACGGATTTGGCGCCATTCAGTTTTCCTTGAGCTCGAGTTTGGACCGCTGCCCTCCACGTCCTCACCCAAGGCTGATGAATCTTCTTTCTGCAATTTTCTGCAGGGACATCTGCCGTCTAACCGCCCCTACTGCAGCAGCCTGGCTTGACACGTCTGGAACACTCAGACGTGCCTTCTGTTTCCGCGCAGCCACCCCTTGCCACACCCGAAGGATTCCCGCCCACTGAATGCCGGAGGAGTTGAAACCCTCGCCAAGGCCAAGCCGCTCGCCGGCAACAGGCACCACCCTGCCGGCGCGCTGGCCCTTTGCAGCGCGCTTTGCCCGGCGCACGCCAGCAGCAAGGCCCGCGGTAGCCGCGAGCACGGCGCCTGCAGGACACTGAAAGGCAGGTCAGCTCAACCGCTTCACCTTCTTGGTGGGTGAGAGGAGGCGTGAAGGACCTCCACTTTATCAGAAGTGCTGCCCTACGCTCTATGATTGAATGGCACACATGTTTTTGTGAAGTGCTTTGGTGGGCTGCTGCGGCGCCACGCAAACGTTTCACTGGCCGGGCCTGCACCGCCCACGTTGATGGAACCTGTGGGGCCAGGGGCGCGGCGAGCCTCGGTCAGCTGCGCCGGAGCGAGCACCTGGGCAGCCGGTGAGATCAACAACCTGCCATGAGCCTACGTGATGTCCCAGCAAACATGGAGATGTCAGGCAACTTCGTCACCCATGAAACTGCTGCAAGTTGGCGGGGTGCAATGCTGCTTGCTGGCTTGCTATCATCCTTCCCAGTCGAACATGACAGCCGGTGCTACGGAAGCTGCTTACCGCACCGCCAACATCTTGGTGTGCTGCCAAAGCACCAAATGCAAAAGCAATAAGCCTTACAAGTGGTTGATTTGCACCCTGGGCCATACCAATATTCGAATACTGCCTTTCGGAAATACCAGCATGGCCAACCAATGTTGACAAGGTTGCAACAACTCACCTGGTTCAACAAGCTTGCCGCGCTTCTGGGAGCATGGGGTGCTACCAAGGCCCCCATGTTTCCCCAAAAAATCGCCGGGACGCGGAAGAGCTCGGCACGGTGAAGGCAGTGAGCGCCATGATGTGTGAGAGGCGGGACGCACGAGAGGGTACAGCTGCCAACTATGGACACAAGCCACAGGATGCCGGGCGGCATAGTGTCAACCTCATTGAGACCACTGAACTCCCTGTTTTGCCGCGCCTAAACAAGACACAAACTCACTTGCAGAAGTATAGCCGCACTTTGCTGATCAACTTGGCTCCTTGCGACTTACGTTAAATCAACTTCAACCACGCAAACACGGCTGAACCTTCATGAGATCATTCGAACGAGCGGAA